TAGATTTAAGAGACGTGAGTACTTTCACATTAGTCAAACTTGAATAAAATTACTAAAACATTTCATACTAAAATTTTGAGATTTTTGTGTTAATCTTTTTCTGATAGAACCTAGCATTAAGTTGCAGTATTCACTAAAATCCAACATGTTTGTATTCTTTTATACAGGTAGATAAAATACTGTTAATCGCAGAAGACTTAAAAAACATTGGAAATACTTTTTTCAAATCCCAGAACTGGGAGATGGCCATGAAAAAATACTCGAAAGTTTTAAGGTAATGAGGTATTTTCAATAAATTGCTTTTAAGAACTTGTAAATTGAATTATAAACTGAAATTCAAGAGTTGTTTATTGTACTTTTGGCAAGTTACTTACAAAGTTACCAGATGTATTAAAAGAGCTGTATTTTTTTGTTTTCTCTAGCTTACTTTGAAAATTCTCAAAATACAGAAAAGTTGAAAGAATAGCACATGAGTGAATGTTTGTGTACCTTATTCTACATTCACTAGTTCACTTTTGCTGTATTTGTTTTTGCAGAATCAGTTTTGAAAGGAAGTTGCAAATACCATGACACTTTACCCCTAAATATTTTAGCAATTATTTCCTAAGAAACAAGGACATTCTTCTAAATAACCTTACTATCATTAAAATACTTCCCAGTACCATTGGTACAGTGTTTTCTAATGTTATCCACATTCAGATTTCCCCCAATTTTTTTTTTTTTTAACTCCAGGGTTTATGATATCATTTGGTTTTATATCTCTAGTTTCCTCTAATCTTTAATAGATTCTGTTCTGTAAGTTTTTTTAGTCATTTGCATTTTGTGGCATCTAGAATACCATCTGTGTTTGATTGCTTCCTCAAAATTAGCTTAAGGATAAATATTTTGGCAAGAGGATTTAAGTAGGTGATGTGTATTTTCTGTTATCACTTATTGACAGCACATGTCAGTTTGGCCTAATTTGATTTTGCTACTTGATTAAAGTGGTGTCAGCCAGATGTCTGTTAAAAAAGTGCCTTTCCCCTTTGTAAATAGTAAGTACTGTGAGGTGATCCTGTGAGTCATATGCATATTCATTTTCTTCCCTTTCATCCAGTGGTTTTAGATTATCAAAGATTCTTGCCTAAATCAGTTATTACACTGATGATTGCAGAACTGTGATTTTCTAATTTTATCATTCATTTTACAGTTATTAGCTGGCATTCTGCTATTTAAGTGTCCCCCCTCTGTCCCCCTTATTTTTAGTATTACTATAGACCTAGGGATTTTTTTCCAATTCAACCTCTTACACTGTTACCATCATTCTTTTTGAAGCTCAGAGGGTCCCAGGTTTGTCCAGCAGAAGCCCCTTATTCTTCATCATTTTGACATGTTCCTCTTAGACTGTGATCACCTGCCTTATTTTCTGGTGTGAAATGTTCCAGGCTCATCTTATGCTTAACCTGTTTCCAGATCTGGTATCAGCAGTCTCTCCAAGGAGCCCTCATTCTTTTCTATGGGGGATAGACTTTAGAAAACAAATTCTGGGGACCAGGTATGCTCATTGTTTCTGAGCCCTTGTCAGTGGACAGAGCTAGGAACTGTATTGAATGACAATGCAAAACCAATACTATACAGTTCTTCATCTTTCCCATTCCCTGTCACACAGTGAGAGCCTTGCTTTTAATAGAGACCTGGTTTTTAAAAATAGAAAATGTTAGTGTATAATTATCTTTAAATTTGGGCATTATTCTTAATTTGGCCTGTTGGAACACTTTGGTAAAAAGGTTGGAATAAAAATAGAAAATACTGAGCCCTGGCCAAGTGGCTCAGTGGCTTGGAGCATTCATCTGAACACCAAAAGGCTGAGGGTTCGATCCCCTGTCAGGACATGTCTAGGTTGCAGGTTTGATTCCTGGTGAGGGCGCATATGGGAGGCAACCGATGGATGTTTCTCTTTTACATCGATGTTTCTGTCTGTCCTTATAAAACATAACTCAAGTGAGGATTAAAAATCTAAAGAAAAAGCAGTTAATGAAAAGATACTGAATATTAAGAATATCAATGTCAGTGTTTGATGAACTTTTTATATCAGAAACGGCATGACATTTTTTGGCCTAGTTGAAGCAGCAGAGTCTCATATAGCATTACATGTTACTTGTATTCATGTTCTCCAGATACGTGGAAGGGTCAAAGGCTGTAACTGAGGAAGCAGACAGATTGAAGCTACAACCTGTAGCTTTAAGTTGCATCCTGAATATTGGAGCTTGTAGACTGAAGATGTCAAATTGGCAGGGAGCAATTGACAGTTGTTTGCAGGTAAGTCTCTTTGATATTGAACTTTTTGACAGGGTTGGGCTGTGACTTAGAACTTCAAGAAGAGCAGTTTTACATACATTCATATATCTGCATAGGACCTAATGAGACTCTTTGAAACATAGTATGTCATTTTATTTCTAAATATTTGAACTTTCAGTTTTCCTCTCAGTCCATTTACTTGGCTTATTATGTTGCTTAATATCTATGAAGATAATTTTCCTTTTTTTCTCCATGCACGTGTATCAGCTCATGTATTCATTTAACTTGTTGAATACCTAGTATGTGCTGGGCATTGGAAGACAATGCCAGGAATGATGAAGGCTGCGGGTGTGGCGTCAGTAAGGCACAGCTTTTTTTATTAGACCTCTGTCACTTACTTTGTGATCTTGTGTAAGTTCCTAATTTTAGAGAGCCTTATATTGTCAGTGGGAAAATACCTGCCTCATGGGATTGTTAAACAGACTTAACATATGGAAAGCATTTAGCACAGGGTGAGGCATATGTTAAGCACCTAACAGGTATTTTAATTAAAAGACAAACCCATACCCTCAAGGAGCTTTTTATTTGGCTCTCTCTATGGAGACATCCAGGAATACTACCTGAAAAAGCTAGAAAGGTAACAGAATTATCTTCCTTAAATAGAGCAATAATAACTCCCTATTGCAGAGTTGAAAATTCTCCAAACTAACCCATGAGTTTTAAAAGACCACCTCAAGTAATTTTAATTGTACATAGACTGGTTATGTCCAGAGCAAATAGAAATAAAATGAGATCTTAATTTGCTGGGATAGGAGGAGTAGGGATAAGAATATGTTTAGAAAGAAGCGTAGAGCAGAGGAAAAAAATGTTATCCAAGGAAATGATTGATCTTCACCAATCTCCTGGATCTCTTGGCAGATAATACACCCTTTTCAGTAAAATCTGTGTATTGACCTTTAAAAGATGTTAAGTAAACAAAATATATTATTGTTAAAACATTTGTTTCAGATGGGAGACCTATTAAAAGTTATTCATGCTCCGAAAAAATAAGCTAGATTTCAAATAAAAGAATGTATACAGGTTTTAATTTAATATGGCTTTATCGGTTAGGGCTGAATCAGGAAATAGAAACTACACTGTAATTGGAACAGAGAAAGTTTAAAATAAAATATAAGAGAGGACTGGAATAATAAGGGATTGGCTAGTAAAGAGAATTCTAAAGTTACAGCAATAGCAGATATATTTACGTGCGTGTGCGTGTGTGTGCGCGCGCACGCACGCACAAGAGCACACTGGAACCTGGAAGAGGAACAGCTTTCTCTTCCATGTCCATATAGCGCCCTCTACTGACAAAACTTAACATTGTGCCAGCTGACAAAGGAGAGATTTACAGGGTCCAGCTCCACACAGAGCAGAGAATGGTTGATCTGGAACTGACAGGCAATAAATGGAAATCTAGACATACACTTAATATTTGATATATTTTTGTAGGCTCTTGAAATTGACCCATCAAATACCAAAGCACTGTACCGTAAGGCTCAAGGATGGCAAGGATTAAAAGAATACGACCAAGCATTGGTAAAATTTTGTTCTAAATTTCAGTTTTTAAAAATATACAACCATCTTCATAAATCATACATCTAGTATGTCTTAATTTTTTTTTCCAATTAAAGGCCGATCTGAAGAAAGCTCAGGAAATAGCACCAGAAGATAAAGGTAAGTTGGCAGTTTTTGCTATGACAGTTCACTTTGCCCTTTAATTTGTCCTCATGAAACATTATACCCTTTGCTGCCTCAATGCAGATGCTTATTTGTCCAACAGATATTACAGAATGCCTGCCCTTGGGCCAGGCCCTGGTCATACTGCACTGTCCTCAGAGCGTGTATATTCTAGTCCCTCTCCTGAATACTAATTATTCTACTGTATCATTTGAGATCTAGTTCCTATTAGTTTAATTCTAGTCAAAAGAGCAGTATTAAAGGAATGTTATGGTAACTTTAATGTTCAGGACCATTTCTTAAGCTTGATATAGCCACAACCAAAATATTCTAGCTAATAGATTTTTGTTTTAGGAAAGCTTTGGGATGCTGTGACAAAAATAAGCTTGTCTTTCAAATACACCAACTACTAATAGTGATGGCTAGAACTAGACATTAAAATTTATCTTTGGTTTCTTTACTACTAAAGTAAAACAGAGGAGGCACTTAACTGCCCTCTGATGGAAGAGGAGAAGGCAAATCTGTGTAAGTCAATTAGAATTCTCTCAGTTGACAACCTTCTAAAATTGTGCTTGTGATTTTTGTATTTGTGATTACTTTCTCAGTATAAAATATTGTTAATAAGGCAAGAAGAGTTTTACCAAGGGGGAATTAACTGTCACTCTAAAACATTGGTTTGTTGGTCAGTGTTATTTTTTGGATGTTTGAAAAATAACTCACATTACATATTTATTTTGCAGCTATCCAGGCAGAATTGCTGAAAGTCAAACAGAAGATAAAGGCACAGAAAGAAAAAGAGAAGGCAGCATATGCAAAAATGTTTGCTTAATAAGGAATTTAGTTATATATTATACATTGATGTAAAAAAGGCAGTAAGAAAATTGAAGGGTTTTTGCCTATTATATATGATTCTTAATGTGTTTCCTTTGGTAGTTCAGTTCCCATTGTTTACAATTTAGAAATAACTGATAATGCTGTTCACTCTTAATAAAAGTGTTACAAACTACAGTGAAGTTAATTTTTTTTTCATGGCCATCTACATTATTCACAAATAACAATGGTGTTCAACCTATTTTTAAATTAAAGATACATCTTGTTGAATAAACAGACAAAAGCTTCACTTTTTAATATGATTTCCCTCAATTCTCTGATGTAGCTCTATACTGTGGTTGATTTGTCCTGGTATTTTATACTTACAGGTAATACAGATAATGTATGTTCGGGGGTCAGCAAACTTTCTCTAAAGGGCCAGATTAGTAAATTTTTGGGACCACTGTATTCTATAACAACAGCTCAGTGTAAACCAGTGGGCATGCCATGGCTGTATGTTCCAGTAAAATGAAAAAAAGTGGTGGACTGGATGCCAGCCTATGGCCTACAATATACATTTATTTTTATACTTAAAATGTTTCATTTGATGAGTCAAATGTACATTAAAGGCCAATAGTTTATTCTGCCGTTGGTACTGAATCATTAAAGAACTGAAGAGATATGTAGGTGCCACATCACTTACAAAGTTTTATTTAAGATAAATATTGATAAGTTTTTATGGGACAATTTTAGATGTACTATAAAATTTGTTTCCCTGATTTTATGAACATTGTGATCAATAATACACTGTACAAAATTTTGACACTTGTTAATTTCTCACCATTTTAAAGTTAGCTTACCATACATTTTAGAGAAAGTGATTATCAGACTTGCCTGCAAATGAAATCAGCTGCAGTTTACATTCCATTATAAGCAGGTCCTCCACCACCTTCGGGTACCACCCAGTTAATATTCTGACTTGGATCTTTAATATCACATGTTTTACAATGCACACAGTTCTGAGCATTTATCTGTAACCGAAATCCATCACCTTGTTCCAAAGGTACAAATTCATAAACTCCTGTAGGAAGAAATAAACAATATTGTGAAGTACCTAACTTTTTTAACTTTAAAAATTCAGAAATAGAAATTGAAGTCCAGGAAACAGTAGCTACAGAAACCGTGAAGTTTTGTTTTCTGAATGTTTGTCCACAGAGCATATTACAAAGATCTTGGTTGCTTCCGAGTTACAATTTTATGTAAATATATATTATGTACTATGTGATGCTATAGCTGAAAAGAAAATCGAGCCAGTTCTTACCCTCACCTGGTATAATGACAGACGATTGAAGTCAAGACAAAGTTGTTGCTTTTTAAAGACTTTTCTAGTACTTCTCTAGAGTGTATTAATTTTTACATCTGAATACAGTTTATCAGTTGAGTTACTATTTTATAATTCTAGTTGAAAACTGAGCACTAAAAGATACAGTATTCATGATGAATTTATAGTCTGGGGCCACTTGAGCTGGATATGGCTATCACCAGTATTTAAGCATCTACACACATACTCTGTGTATGAAGTGAGCAGCCGTGACTAATGATGGTATTTGGTGTTCCATAATCCTTATTTTGGTCCAAGGGTAGACACTGCTTTTTTTTTAAGAAATATCTGAAGCAGGTGTCACAAAAAAATCCCTATTTTAACATTGCTAGAGTAAGAGGCATAAAATAATATTTTCTAAAGGAATGGGGGCATATTTCTCACATGTTTAAAACAAATACTTGTACATCAGGACTGAATGGAAACCATAGCACTGACCTGCAGGGCAGAATCGCTGCTCAGGTCCATCGTATATTGCCAAATTTCTATTTACAGGTATACTGTCATCCTTTAAGGTTAAATGTGCTGGCTGGTCGTGTTCATGATTGGTACCACTCAGAGCCACAGATGACAAAAGGTCAAAACTAATCTGTCCATCAGGTTTTGGGTATTCAATAGGTGTGCAATCCTTGGCTGGCTTGAGCTGATCAGAGTCAGTACCTTCAAAAGTTTCGAGGAACATTTTAAATAAAAATACATTTAAAGTACTTAAAAAAAACATTTTAATAAAAACTTGAAAATATACCAAAGAAATAAAACTTTCATAATAATATACTGTTGTCTTAAAGATACTGAATTTGTCATTAATAAAGCAAGTTTAAACATTAAAAAAGTTCACTACTTAATGGATCCCACTGATGAGTTTTTAATACCAGCATTCATACTCTCAAATGTATTGCAATTACCTTTATGTTTTAGAGTCCATGGCTCCATCCCTCTAAATATCCAGTAAAAGATTCCAGTGTAAATCATCCCTCCATATAAACCCAGGATTCCATGGCAGGAGGGTCTTATATTTCGAACACTATATAGCTCTTTCCACACCCATGATTTCTTCAAACTGTCTTCATACTCAGCTACATGGAGTCCTTTTATTAAGAACATGAAACATTAAATGTGAAATTGCCTCAAGGAGTATAAAGTACTTTATCAAGGTATTTTGCTGCTGAAAATCTCATGAGTGAATTTTAAAAAACAGGTGGTCATAACACCACATGAATGTTTCATGTATAAATGTTGGCATCTTCCAAAAAGACAAGTTTTAATATATTTTGTTAACAAACAGGCATTTGATTTCTTACAGTGGTTGCATGGAAAATTAAGTTACAAAATTTAGTGAAACTGAAAAAGAAGCTTAAGAGTTTATGCTACCTATAAAAGCAAAAAAAAAAAAAAAAAAAAAAGTGATCAAATGAAATGCGTATTACGGACTGAACTGTGTCCCCACCCCGCCCCGCAAAAAAGATGTTTTGTAGTCCTAACCCCGCAGTATTTAAGAATGGGTAAGAATAGTGTTGTTGAAAATGTAATAGTTAAGATGAGGTCATACTGGAGTAGAGTGGGCGCTTAATCTAATGACTGGTGTCCTTATGGGACATGGATAAACAGAAGACAGGTAAAGATGGAGGCAGAGATTAGAGTTAATTCTGTCACAAACCAAGGAATGCCTGGGACTTTCAAAAGCTGGGGAGAGGCAAGAAAAGATTCATCCAGAGACTTACAGAGAGAGTATGGTCCTGCCAATACCTTAATTTCAAACTGCTAGCCTGCAGAACTCAAATTTATATTGTTTTAAGTCACCCAGTTTGTGGCACTTTGCTGTGGCAGCCCTAGGAAGCTGTAACAACACCTAAAACTTGGTGCATGCATTTAACATTTAATGGGACAAAATGGTTCTTATGAACTTTTGTACACTACACAGTGACTATACTATTTCCAGTCATTGTTTACTGTTCTGGCTCCCTTTTCCTTCAGGCTTTAGTCCCAAATCTAGTCTTTGGTGATCTACTTGCTCAAGTACTTTCTATGTGAGGTGCTATGTGTACATGATAAATTGGTCCAAATAGGAACGATGCTTGGCAAGAAAAATAGAAAAAGCACTCCACTACTCAACCATCACATTCCACCTTGCCTTTTCTGTTCTACCTTACCTCCTCCTCCCACAGCTTAGGCCTCCCTACCTACAAATATATTTGAAGGCATAGTTAGGTTGCAAACTTCTAAGTGGAGGGACATTTGTTATCTGGGATTCTAAGGACAAAGGCCTATTAACCAACAGCTATTGAGTTGCTACTATGTGCCAGGTGTTTGGGATTCATAGTGAATCGATTGCCTCCTTTCTTGGAGTTTTCCATCCAAGCACAAGACAAAGACAAAGACAAAGTTGATAAATTTCATAGAGTGTCAAGGGTAGAAAAAACTATAGAAAAAAATGTGTATGTGTGTGATGGCAGGGGAGTATTCTGTGTATGTTGCAAATCAGTTGTCTCTGCTGCGAGAGTGGTAATTGAGCAAAGGCGAAGAGAGCGAGAGAGCTGGCCACGAGCAAGGACCATGAAAGGGTGCATGCTTGGCATGTTCTAGCATCAGTGAGGAGGCCTGTGTGCCTGGAATGAGAGTCAAAAGAGATGTAAGTCAGAGGAGTGAGGGAACTTTGATCATGATTCTGAGGAAAGTGTAGAATCATTAGAGGGTCTTGTTAGACAAAGGGTTTACGGTGGTCTAGTGCTACCTGTTCCTCTCCGCCGTAGCAGAAGGGTCATGTTCATATATGCCTGTGCTTGTCAAGCCTGCCAGGGCACGGTGTTGCTGGATTCCAAGATTTCCACAGCTCTTCTGTTTTCAGACAAGATCCTTCAGTATTTGTGAGATATCTTAGTGTGTATATTACATGTATGTAAGGTAATGCAGTAAGTCCAACCTGAAATCACTACTAAGTAGGTGGGGCACCACTGGTAGTATTCCACTTTTGATATCAACAGATCATTGTTTTAAAATCTGGTTAATTATTGAGAGTAGGTCATTTAGTTTTCTTTGCACTACATACATATTAATGCTTTGTATAAAGGAAACTATATATTTTTATATATATCTTTTAATGTCAATTGAAATATACATTAATAATACCTCAAGACTTCCATTCAAGATGGGGATGTAGGTAAACATGGCTTACCACCTTGCACAACCACAGCAAAAATTACAACTAAATTACAAAACAACTATCACTCAGAATTGTCAGAAAATTGAGCTGTACGAAGTCTGACAACAAAGGAATTAAAGAAGTGACATTCATCCAAATGTGAAGGAGTGGTGGAGATGCAGAAGTGGGGTCCCACACCTGTGCGTGGCAGATAAAAACCAGGAGGGATACCTGGGGAGCGAGGGGTCCCAGTCCCACACTCCAGCCCACCCAGACCAGCGTTCCAATGCCAGGAAGATCAGTCCTCATAACTTATGGCTATAAAAACAAGTGGGGATTGGGGTGGCAAAAGTAACTGTGGAATTCTCAGGCATCTCCTCTTAAAGGGCCTGCAATGGACTTAGGACTTTCGCAGACTCACTCCCTCTGGGCTGCAGCACCAGGGCAGTAGCTGGAAGGGCACCAGTGGCCTATGGGGAGAAACTGAAGTGTTTGGCATCAAGGCAAGTCCTGGGAGACAGCCTCCGCCTGGACAAAACTGCCGAGGCCAGGCAGCGGCCATAGTCCCCTTTCTGAGCCCTCCCTGATGAAAAGCCACAAAGCAGAGACTCCATCAACTTGGTGGACACGGGTGGCCCCGCCCTGGTGTTTACCTAAGGCTCCACCCCATCCTACTTAACCAGTGCACTTTCTACAATAGGCCACACTACTAAGATAGGGAGTCAGAGCAGCTCTTCCTAATACATAGATACAAATGCAGGGAGGCTGTCAAATGAAAGCACAGAACAAAACTCCAGAAAAAGAACGAACAAAATGGAAAAAAGCAATCTATCAAATGCAGAGTTCAAAATATTGGTTATTAGGATGCCCAAGGAACTCACTGGGTGCTTCAACAGTGTAAAAAAGATCCAGGCAGAAATGAAAGCTACACTAAGTGAAATAAAGAAAAACTTAGAGGGAACCAACAGTGGAGTGGATGAAGCCAAGAATCAAATCAATGATTTGGAACATAAGGAAGAAAAAAACATTCAATCAGAACAGCAAGAAGAAAAAAAGAATCCAAAAACATAAGGATAGGCTAAGGAGCCTTTGGGACTTTAAATGTACCAACATTCATATCACAGGGTGCCAGAAGGAGAAGAGAAAGAATAAGAAATTGAAAATTTATTTGAAAAAATAATGAAAGAAAACATCTCTAATTTGGTGAAGAAAACAGACATACAAGTCCAGGAAGCACAGAAAGTCCCCAACAAGACGGACACAAAGAGGACCACACCGAGACACATCATAATTAAAATACCAAAGATTAAAGACAAAGAGAGAATCTTAAAAGCAGCATGAGAAAAGCAGGTAGTTACCTACAAAGGAGCTCCCATAAGACTGTCAGCTGATTTTTCAAAAGAAACTTTGCAGGCTACAACAGCTTGGCAAGAAGTATTCAAAGTGATGAAAAAAGCAAGGACATACAATCTAGATTACTCTATCCAGTAAAGCTATCATTTAGAATCAAAGGGCAGATAAAGTGCTTCCCAGACAAGGTAAAACTAAAGGAGTTCACTGTCGCCAAGCCATTATTATATGAAATGTTAAAGGGACTTATTTAAGAAAAAGAAGATCAAAACTATAAACAAGAAAAATGGCAATAAATTCACAAGTCTCAACAATTGAATCTAAAAAACAAACTAAGCAAACTAGCAGAACAGAAACAGAATCACAGATATGGAGATCATTTGGAGGGTTATCAGTTGGGAAGGGGAAGGGAGAGAATGAGGGAAAAGGTACAGGGATTAAGAAGTACAAATCTGTAGGTACAGAATAGACAGGGGGCTGTTAAGAACAGTATAGGAAGAGTAGCCAAGGAACTTTTATGCATGACCCAGGAGCAAGAACTGCGAGGTAGGGGGCAATTGCCAGAGGGAATGGGGGGAGTTCCAGGTGAAGGGGACAGAGGAGGAAAAATTGGGACAACTTATGTAATAGCATAGTCAATGAAATATATTTAAAAAACCTCCAGATTTTTAACTGTATTTATTTTCATGTTCTAGCTATATACTGACTGTATGTTTAAGTAACTTCTTTTTAATATCTCAATGAAAAACTTAACAATTTTCTATACTTTAAATAGGAAGTTCTTACCTATTGTCTTTGATTGGAGATTGTCATTAGTTACTTGATTAAAAATAGATTCTGCTGCCAAAACTCCACTTTTCATGGCTGTGTGGGTACCTTTGATCTTGGGAACATTCATAAAACCAGGGCTACAACCAATTAGTAAACCACCAGGAAAGGTGAGTTTTGGTATAGACTGAGGAAAGAAACATTTAGAGTGTATTGTTAGCTCAAATTAAACATGTAAAACTGACCATTCCAAATTATAACCTCGTAAATAAGTCTTCCAATGATATAGGGAAACATTTTTTTTTAAAATACAAGAAAATGAATATACTGAAGAAAAAAAATCCGAGCAAGGGCAGTTTTTCCCTTTCCCTATGAATGGGGATTAGAACTATTACTATTTTTCTATTAAAAACTTTCCCTTCTTCCTCCCCATAACTAATCTACATGAGGCAGATTTAAGACCAGAGGTTTAACATATTTAAATAAAATATGTTAACAAAAGGGATCAAGGTCAGAACCACCTAGATAAAAGAGCATTATGTCTGGATCACGAAGTAGACAGTATGGGTGAACACTTTCTGGAATGTCACTAGCTAAAAACAGATAATGCTTGGGAGCTTGGATAATGACAGTGCTTTCCTCAAATAGGGCTGTGGCCTTGCTAACACTATGTTCAATTCAAGAACCAGAAGACAGGATGTGGATTGTTAGTGCAAGTTTTTCCAAATTGGTGCTTAAATCTTAAGAGTAAAAATTTCATGGCCCAATGAAAGTGTGTGTGTTTAAGTTCTGGGAGAATGCTCTGTGTGAGCAGTGTTACTGGCACTGGGCATTTTGTTAAGGAACTAGGGACCAAGGAAGAGTTGTACTCAGAAATGTTGTGTTCTGGGACATTCGTTAAATTGGGGCTACAAATAATTAGAAACCGATCAGGAAAAGGTGAGTTCTGGGTATAGACCGAAGGAAAAAAAAAAAAAAAAGGTTATGTAATATTTGTTAGCTCAAAATAAATAAAACGGAATGTTCCAAACTATTGCTTCTTATGGGTCTTCAAAACTTACTGAAAATAAGTTTCTGAAACAACTAATTAAATCAGAAAATTTAGGTAAAAAATGCGGGAGTGTGTGGTCATCTCATCCTGATAATCTAAAAAACACCTGAGATGTTTGAAACACATAAGGCAGATGTTTTTAAATGAGAATTTGTATGTACCACTGAATATACCAAAATCTTTATGCTATAAATGAAAAAGAATAGAATCAGACTGATACTAGGTATTACAGACATCATTCAAAAGAGTTTAATGGGCTTGAATATAGTTTTTCAATTAATAAATTTTTGTTGCAAACAAATCATTACACTAGAAACAAAGTCAACTACCCTCCCCCTCCCCAATTTTCTATTATCGATTTGTTACTTTTACAATGACATTTTTCAAAGATACCCAATTTCTAAAATAGTCCTAGATTCTTAGGATACTAGAGACGGAAGGGATTATCTTTATTTTACAGATGATCCCTTAAGGGCTGAGAAGTTACGTAACGCTCCAAATCATCTGGTATGTGTTTTATAGCAGATTTTTTAAAAGATTGTCTTACCTGTCTAATGCTATTTCTACACTAGTGCTAACAGCTTTTATTATAGTTAGCTATCTATGTCTTATTTCATTGTTCAATTAGTTTATATTTAATACATTAATGATATTTGTTAAGATTTACTTTGAACATACACTAAAATTGTACAAGTAAGAGTAAAAGCTTAACAGAGCTCACCTAAAAGGCATGGATGCTACTATGTAGTTGGGATGAATTAATTATCTTTGCTGAAAACTAAATTTGCCTTTGAGTTTCCTGGAAGCTAAGGAATAAAAGGAAATATTTTGGATCACATAGTTTTAACTTTCTGGTTAAAAACAAACAAACAAATAGCCTGTGAATTTCTCTCTAGAAATCAATACATTCTTAAAATTCATTGTGTAAGTTACTTAACTACAATGTGACATAGTCTTAAAAACACTGGGTGCTTTGCTTAATTATCTAAATTTTTTCCTATGAGATGATCTGCTATTCTTTATTTAAATTTGTAACATAGTTTCAATGCTAAATTTATAATACATAAATGAGGAATGCAAAAGGTGGGAGAGTTACCTGAAAGCCACCTTCGTTGAGAGCCCTGGCTCCATATGCAATCCTTTTTCCACCTTCTAACGTTGGCTGAATGCTGGGATGGTGTTTCCACCTCTGGAACTCTCTAAATGGACTCAGGAATGGATTTTGATAGTCCAGACCAACCTTAAAATTTTTATATTTAAATTTGATATATTTATGAAATTAGACATTTTTATTTCAAACTATATCAAGCTAAACTGTGAGAAATTTTTATCAGAAAACATGTACATTGTTTCTTGTACTCAAAGTATTTAGAGAAATATATACAGTAACCTAAATATAATTAATTAAATAAAATCTGTTTCAAAAAGAAAGGGTAAAGAAAAGGGTACTTCGTGTTTATAATCACAAAAACTTTTAAAATTTGGAACATATTAATAAATCACTGTGTTCTATATACCAAAGTCCACATTAGAAAAATATTTGTAGGTGTCTCTCACATTGTGTTTCTACAAAAGGAGTTGTAATTATTTATTATTCATTTATCAATACCAACTCTACAAATAAACAAGCTATGTGCAATACTACTGAGGCGCGAATGAAGAAGGATGTAATGACACTCAGAAAAAAGAAAAGGACAAGAAATATCAGGCATTACCAGAGCACTGAACTTAATAACCAAGACTTTTTTGTTTTGAAAAGATTATCACTAGAAAAACTACACAAAGATGATGTGCTAAACACTTGTCTGGATTTCAAAAACACCAAAACCACATACAATTAACAATGGTTAATATGTAGGTTTAAGCATGACATTAAACAAAAAAGCTCCCGCTAATTCTAAGATGCAGAAATTCATATTATTTTTCCATTTCCTGTGATGTTCAAGATGTAATTTACTACAAAGACATAAGTGGCCCAAAAGTTACAGGTTCAAAACCAGTGCTAACTGAATTTTCAGCGGCAGCCAGCCATACTGGAAATGAGCTTTGAAGTCACACAGGTTCAGGTGTGAAACTGCCTGTCATTTAATGCGCATATGTGGGAAAGTTGTTCAACTTGTTTGGACTTCAGTTTTCACATCAGTAAAATAAGGATGTGCCTAAAAAAATGCATAGAATTTTTTACGAAACAGAGTTCTCAGTGAAATATCTAGCAGAGTGCCTGGCATGTAGTAGCTGCTATTACTGAAGCTCTGTGTGTTTAAGTAGACTAATGTCTATAATAATCACAAACACTTAATCTACTGAGAAAATCAGAATGTAAGCTTTAAATAAAAAGCATTTTACATTCTCCAGATTCAAATCCCTAGTTTATTATAACAGTGATGATTTAGTGACTCTGAACTTTCCACAACGGGCATATAACTTACCACAAAACCAAGTGCTACTAGGGGTTCCCCTTCATTTAAATGATAGAGGAAAGAGCCTCCATAGGTGTGTTTGTCCAAGGGCCAGCCAACAGTGTGATCAACTCTCCCAGGTTTCCACTTCTTTTCATCAATAATCCATAGCTTAAAAAAAAAAGTCTTAGAGCATTAGTTAATTTTTTTATGTCACTACTATGTATAAAACTTGCCAAGTTCGTCTTATTTATGAAAATTACAAGTAAAAATAACTGTACACAAGAAATACAGAAAGGTATTTCAAATATCAAAGAACGAATATTAAAAATCATCAAGCTGCAGCATGATGACTCAGAGAGTAAAGAAGGTCAGAAATGTTACGAACACTTTAAGACATTAATTTGACATTCAAATCAATAAGACTTTCATGCAATTATATGAAACACTACAGAATAGATGAGGGAAACATCTAGGGTATAGGTAATATTTTATGTCTTGATTTGGGTGGTGGTTGCATGGGGGTGGTTCGCCCTGTGAAAATCCACCAAACTGTATACTTAAGATCTAGGACTTTAAAGCACACTCTGTTATTCTTCAATGAAATTTTTCACTCTTTCTTGCACAACCCCATCCTCAACTGAAGCAAATTATTTATCCTATTTTTAGAATGGTAAATTTTAAATTTCAAACAATTTCCATCTTAAATATTGTCTAAAAATCAGATATTATGTGCAATCTACCAAAACAATTAAGCCCACAATATAATGAATCTAGTTATGTATAGAATTTAAACCTTCCTGAGCTTTACCCTAAAAATAAAATTAAACAAAAGGATATAATGAAATTTTTACATTCTAATAAGCCTAAAGTTTGAAAAAACAGTGTACAGACTGGATAAATTGAGAACATATACAACGCTTAACCTATCTAAATTTTAGGTTTCATGCCAATATACCATAACTGAGTATATGTTTTGTGAACTAAATTATCTTCATATAATTTCAAATAAAACATTCTTGTACGATGTGGTCATCCTACAACCAGCATATGAATAACAGCATATGAAAAAAATCAATGTTACAAATATTTTCAAGTTCACGACTTCTCTCAGGAATATTTGATAAAGCATTTATTACATATAGACACAATATAGATACTAAGAAATTTTGATTAGTATATATTTTCTAGCCCTTTGAAAAATATTTCAAATATTTTGTCATAATGCACATTTCAAGTCAGTGAAAAATATATCTCTAAAATTAAATCAACATTATAATTAAATTATAATACAAATGAATTTAAAGCTCTATCTTTCAACATTAAAATTACAAAAACCAGGATACCTCCTTCAGTCCAATTCCGTAGGTTTGGGGATCACAACTGGCTCTCAAATCAAACTTCTTATACAGTTGCTTAGCTAGATGTCCGTGGCAACCCTCTGCAAAGATTGTAACTTTGGCATGTAGTTCTAGTCCTCTCTCAAATGTTGTCTAAAAAATAAAAATGTGTTAAACTGCAACATTTGACAATTTTAGATATATTCATACTCTGGTCAGTTTTGAATTGAACTGTAATTCAGGTATAGAAGAGACAGTGTAAATCTCTTAGAAATAAAACTAAGTACTGTTATAAGTGAAATCTAATTTAAATTTAATAATATATCTTGTGTCTTTGTTATATTTTTCTTTTTTACTTCAAAATTACTTGATTGGATGATCAAGTTTGTAAGATTAAAACAGCAAATAAAGCATGCTTATGCTAAAAAAGATTATCTATAAATAAAGTAAAAAATGAAAGGTCATTTCCCCACTGTTTCTGATTTTCCAGTCTCATAATTTAAAGCAAAAATCACTATTAATGGCTTTGTTGTGAAATTTTCAGGCCAGAAAATTTCCGTCAATAAAAATCAGAGCCCACTTATATCTTCTAACACAGATAGGATCATACTGAATATATTCTTCAGCCACTTGCTTTTTCACTTTAATTTTACTTGTTCTCTATTGCTGAATGTATATAATAAAACTGAGTTTTTTTCCCAAGGGGGGAAAAAAGCTAATTTTCTCTTATTTCTCTCTATATTTTGTACTTATATCTGGCACATGATACTGAATAAAGAAATACAGATTAATCAGAAAAGCCTCACAAAATATATCTTTCCTGATATTTCTCTCTTCATATATTCCCATGTATAGTATGTGTGTATACAGTCATACAAAAATAGGTTTACACTGACATACTTTTATGATTGTTTCATGTTATATCATAAAGTGATTTGCCTAAGGCAATATATACCAAATAAAGCATTCATTTTTAATATTTGAATAGATTCCCCTATTTTTTCAATCAATTCTCAATAGCTGACATTTAGGTTGTTCTACTGTTTTACTATTATAAACATGGCTCAGAGGAATATCCTTGGTGTTAAATATTTTCAGTCTAAATAGTGAGAATTATTTCATTATGATTAATTTAATATCTTTGGTTACTGGAGAATTTGAATATTTTTTATATGTTTATTAGTAACTTCTATTTTTTCTTATGCAGTGATTATTCATATCATATATATATACATCATACACATACACATACATGTATGAGGGTTTTCCTAATGAAAAATTCCAAACTAATAATTATATTCTAACATATGCTTAACATGTAATTTGTAGCCAGAATAAATTATTAAGCTTAAATCAATTAAAAAAAGTGTCAACTTGTTAAGCACATGATTATTAAAATGCTTACCTTTGGCGCACCATCCTTTTGTATCCCTACATCGTTAGTGGCAATTCCTTTTACACTACCATCCTCATGAAAAAGAATCTAAAATAAAACCATTTCATTATCACCTTAGGATTCAAAACAGCCTTAAAAAGAAACAATAAACAGCCTTAGATTTTTTTAGAAAATGAACACATTCTCTAGATTATAGGAATACAGGCTTTAAAATGCTCAGACAAAAGGAATCATGTTTTCAAGTTACTCACTTTCAGAGTATAAAAGAACACGGCTCAAACAGTTGGAAATGAAAGAAATGCCACAACTCTGACTAGAAAGAAAACAGGGATGATACTTGAGACTCGTTAAAACACCGGTAAGATTAAACCAAAACCTGTTTGAAGAGTTCAGATATCAATAACATATATACAGAACCTGAAGTCAAGGTCTGTAACAAATGAAGACCATCAGCAGGGATGGAAAGAGAGCAGTGCCAAGAAAGCCTTGTCCCAAATGAGCTAAGACCACCCCCAACCCCCTCAAAAAAGAACCATAAAATGAAACATAACAACAAAACAGAGGTTGAAGACAGCCCATAGGCGATTACAGTTTATTTTGGGAGGCAGGAAAAAGGAGAAAGAAAGGGGAAAAACTGGTCAAAAGTATACTTCTGAGGATGAAAAATGTTACTTTGTTTCCTCTCTGGAGAAAAATGCTCTTTGGATAGGAAAGTGCAAATTGTACATTACAATCACACAACAGAAAGCACAGGGGTGGAAGGTAAAACAAGGATTAACCACAATAGATACGAAAAAAAGAGGATATAAATGTTTTAGTTGATGCCTTGAAAATAGAATGCAGCTATGGACTAGAACTGAGGTCAGGCTCAAAGAGTACCAAAAAACTGACATCATTAATCTGTTGATAATGATCTTTAAGGAAATGAGGAAAAGAGGAGGTACAAGAGACTGTAAGTAAGTGTGTGTGTACTCAAAAAGTGAAAATGATTGATTCTACAAACTATCTATTTGTAACTTTGACACTGGTCCCAAGAACATTTTAACCAGGAGAAATATAAAGACCCAGACTTGGGTTTAAAACACCAAATGCATATGTATGGGCTGGGAAAACAATTTAATAGCAGCAAGTATAACACAGAAACCTAAGTGGTTCTTTGTTTTGTTTTTTTTTAATTTTAAATTCTCACTTGAGGACAGTTTTTCTGATGCTTTTAGAGAGAGAAAATGGGAGAGAGAGAAACATCAACACGAGAGCGATGTATCGATTGTTGCCTCCCTAATGTGCCCGGACCAGGGACTGAACCCACAATCCAGGTATGTGCCCTGACCAGGAATCGAACCTGCAATCTTTCTTTAGGTGATGGGACAACAACACTGCTACCAACTGAGCCACACTAGCAAGTGCCCTAAGTGTTTTTATTTGACTTACATATTGTAAGGGTATACACAAATACAAAGTTATTTCGAATTTTCTCTAGTACCAAAATAAGAGAACTTCTCTTTCAGTCAAGATTCTTTCAGCAAATCCTTTAGAAAACTTAACTGTAAACTTTTTCGCTCTCTGAGATATATGTAAATCTTTTAAAAAGCTAAATAAGACTTCCGCCAGATGTGATCTCACAAAGGTATTTCTCGGGAGCCTAAGAGACATGTTTGAATGTGATTACTGAGAAGGATGGTGTTCTGTCTTCCTGTCTCTGTGGGAGTCTAGGATAGGTGTTTGGCTCCAAGCTGTAACTTCCTGCTTGTCACAAGAAGTTTATTTTTCCTTTGGATACAGACAACATGTATGTAATAGATTGTATCTACCTGGCTATATAAATGGATGAGATTTCTTTCTCTCTTGACAATCTCCCTAGCAGGATGCTAGTGACATGCATTGCAATCTTGGGTTAATGCTTATTCAAGAATAAAACTGACTATTATGCTACGTGAAATAAGCCAGCCAGTGAAAGACAAATACCAGATGGTCCCACTTACATATGGGAATCTAATGAACAAAATAAACTAATGAGCAAAGTAGAATCAGAGACATAGAAACATGGAACAGACTGACGGCTGTAAGACGGGAGCGGGGAGGTGGGGACTGAATGAAAGAAGGTGAAGGGATTAGTCAAAGAACATACATGTGTTATCTGTGGACATGGACAGCCATGTGGGAACTGCCTGTGGGAGTTGGGGGAATGCTAAGTGGAGGAGGGGCAAAGGGAGAAAAATTGGGACAACAGTAATAGCATAAAAAATAAAATATTTTTAAAAATACAAAAAATTCTTAACACAAAGAATAAATCTTTTTATAATTTGTAGAGGTGATTTTTCTGAGTTGGCAGATTTTATTTTAATAATTTCTCCAATAATATTTAGTGAAAATAAACAGTATGTTATGGTTGTCAAAAGAAGTACTTGGAGTGAATTAACAGAAGAACATTTTCTACAATGAAGATAATAGCCCTCCTCCATACTAGGCTGAAAGCAATGTATTCATTCTTATTGTCTCCATATGAGGTGATAAAAGGGAAATATATTCAGAGGACAACAATGAGAATACTGAAGGAACTCAAACTATGTAAGACAATGACTGAATGAACTGGGAATATTTAACTTGGGAAAGAAAAAAACACAAGACTAAAGGTAGAGAAGAAGAGAGAACAGGACATAATTATAAATAAAAGGTCTCTTTCAAATTGGAAGAGGGCATAGATTTGTTCTATATAAAACACTAAATGACTTTATAATCAATATAAGAGAGCATTACCAACAATCCATTACCAAATGAAAAGACAGAGATCTCTTCATCCTAATGGGGTTCAATCATAAATCGGACCATCACTTGATGTGGGTACAACACAAAGAATTCAAGTATTCTGGATTATGCAGACCTTTCTAATCTTGCAATTCTAAAATCCTGTGGCTTTTCTAAAATATTTATTTCTTTATCTCATACCATTCTTGGTTTATATTCAAAAGGAAAACAGATTACTTTCTATAAGTATTGGAACCAAACCAAACTATACAAACCTCAGCAGCAGCATAACCAGGGTATACTTCAACACCAAGGGCTTCTGCCTGCTCTCCCATCCAGCTCACTAAATGTCCCAAGCGTACAATGTAATTGCCATGATTATTCATTGGAAGACCTACAAATAAATGCTTAATTTATAAATCTGACTTTTTATTGATAAAATGTCTCAAAAGCATTAACACTTAATTTAAAACAAATTAATAACAAATCACAAACATAAATACTTAATTAAAAAATTTATAAATATATCAAAACATAAACACTTAATTTAAAAATTCTAATCAATGTATAATTTCTGAATAAATATACATATTATCTTATGGCCACATTTTCAGTTTATGTTCTAAAATTCATGGTCACAATTTCAATTTATGTTCTATAATTTTAGTCTAGAGTTCTAATTATTAAATTAAAAAACATTCGAGCATTAAATTAAAAATTCCTAGTTGGTCCCTGGCCAGGTGGTTCAGTTGGTTGGAGCACTGTCCCATGCACCAAAAGCTTGCAGGTCACATACCTAGGTTGCGGGCTTGATCCCCAGTTGGGGCACATATGGGATGCAACCAATCCATGTTTCTCTCTCCTCCCACTCCCCCCCACCCCCCGCCGCTTCCTCGCACTCTAAAATCAATAAACATATCCTTGGGTGAGGAAGAGAAAAAGTTCCGAGTTGGTTTACAAGGCTATCTCAGCTCTCCTAGTGGAAGACTAAAGAACTGGCCTCTAGTCCTTCTTTCCCATAAGCTAGCTGTGTAACTCTAGGTATGTCCTACAAATATCTGGGCTTCAGTTTTCTCATCTGTAAAAGAAAGGAATTTCACCAGATGAAATGCAGTTCCTTCCAGCTGTGGAATTCTATGATTCTATGATTATTTAGCATATCTTACCCGGAAGAATTGGCACAGGAATTCTATATTTCTCTGTTAAAATTCCAAACCGATCTTCGGTTACTGGAGTGTTAAGTGGAGCCTAGAAACAAAATAAGGAAAGAAAAGGAGGTTCATATTTGTAAAGGTAAATACAAATAATTTTAAAAAAACTATCAAAAAGTAAATTTTCAATTTTCTTTCATTATTTTCTTTAGAAAAATTGGATTGTAAATCCTTTGTCTTTTTGAGATGCATGGTAATCTTTTTAAAACCTAAATAAGCCAGTTTTGCATCCCAGAGATGTCTTTTTTTGGGACTTTGGAGACATCTTTGAAATGTGAATGTCAAGGAGAATGCTCTGTCTCCCTGTCCATGGGAGTTTAGCTTAGGAACGTGCTCCAAGCTGTAACTTCCTGCTTGATGAAAAGAGAAGACAAGTTTTATTTTTCCTTTGGATAAAGACAGTTAACATGTATGTAATGAATTGTTTCTGCCTAGCTATATAGGGTTCTGATGTAAAAAGCTTTCTCTATTACAATTGATAGTATGCTAATAATCATTCAATTACATCTATTTCTGATCTAATATTAAAAAGAGAAAGTTAATGAGGCACAATCCAAGTATTTCAAGTTTAGAGGAGCTTGATATTTGAGAAAGGACAGCAGATATAAAATTTTTGGTATTTACTCCATATAAAAAGAATACAGAAATATTTATGTAATGCTTTACCTTTACAAAGTATATTCACAGATACTAAATATTTTAACCTTAAAGGTAGAATAACTGTAACATAACCCATCTTACATAAGAAAAAACTGAAATATGTGTAAAATTTTAACCAAGGTCACACAAACTACATGAGCAGTAAAACAGGCACTCAGTTCTCTGCATATGATATCAATGTCTTTTCTGCTTAAGTTATGGGTGACCATGATTTATTGCCTTAGAAAATTAGATTAGATTATCCACTTTGCCTTCAGATACTGCAATGTCCCAGGCAATTTAGACTTGTGTTTATATCATTGTTCTTAATTAAGTGTTATCTAAGTTTATTTAAATAAATTTATTTAATTTTAATTTTTTATTAATTTTACTAATTTTAAATAAATAAATTTATTTAATTGTATTAATGCTGTTCATTGTGTTAAACACAGAAAAAGTTAGAAAACACCTTGAAAATCAAAATGCTGTATTTTATTTGGTACAAATATTCCAAGATCTTCTTAAGATAATGCCTTCTTATAAATCCAGTACAGAAGTGTAACACATAGAAGGCATTACATAAAAATATAAGTTAATATGTTAAAATTATAACTACATTTTATATGATTTAATCTATCTCTGCCTCTTATAAATAAAAAAATCAATAATTATCCTTTAAAAGATAGAATTACATAAAGAGCATTTCCCATATTCTAGTAATTTGGAAGTAGATATAATAAAGATTAGACTTTTCACAAAAACCAGTTTTCATACTCCTTTCTCCTTCCAGTCTGGGAACAGTTCTTCAAAAGCACGTGGATCAAGGCAAGCCCCTGAGAGAGTGTGAGCTCCTATCTGCGCAGCTTTCTCCACCAGACACACACGGATGTCCTTCTCATGTTTAGCAGCCAATTGCTTTAGCCGGATAGCAGCAGAGAGCCCTGCAGGGCCTGCGCCAACTATTACTACATCTGCTTCTTCCGCAAACCTCTCCATACTCACTCCTGGGAGGAAAAAAAAGTTTAAAAAAATACATAAAAGTCTGGGATGAATATGACCTGTTAAAATCACATGCTGGCTTATAAATACCCACTATGCATTAGAACATTATTTATAGAAATTGCTCCTCTGCCTTGCATGAGAAATGCCACTAGGTTTATTATTTTATTAGTTCTCTTCTGTTCCAGTGCATGCCTTATTTTAGCTTCCATAAACTAACTTTTGGCTTTGAGATTTATTACTGTTATAAATTTAGCAAATATTTCTCCTTCTAAATTAATATTATAATAGCTTTTATAAATCTATATTAGATGATTTTACATTATGAAAAATATTTCCCTTTTCATAATATTTTACTATTATGAAAAATATTTCTCTTTTATTTTCTATCATTTTTCCCTATCATTTTTCTCCTTACGAAATGAGAGTACCTATAAAGTTCCAACAATTTTACACAGATTATTACTTACCTTCCCATCGTTTGTCCTTATCCCGGGGATAAATGGTATAGTGGGTAGTAATTCGAGGTACAACAGAGGTTGAAGCCCATCTTCTGGCACATAGAGGTAGATAATTTTTCTTAATTTTTAAGGCATGAAAGCACTGATAAGCTGCACACAAAAAAATGAAGATTATTATTATTTTTTCAATTAGTTTTCCTCAGAATTGACTGAATAAATATTAAAAAAAAATCTAGGATTGGGGATCAGGACTGGTTTCAGGTTAGTTTTCTATTTTTTAGCCCGAAGACCTAAACAAATCACTTAATTTGTTTCCTCATCTGAAAAGTGAAGAATCACAGATGATCCTGAACTTCATGATCTAAAATTTTATTACACAGGATGCCTTATATTTGGAAACTTGTTTATATTCTGACCATATCAAAACTGCAGGCATTCGGTGAGTAGTTAGGCCTATGCTGCCCAGTTGTTAGTTGGGACATGAACTGAAATAGACTGTATTCTTTCCTAGATGAACAATTCAGTTAGCTTTTTCTCATAAAGTAATGTTTTCAAATTACAATATTTTAAAAGTATCTAATAAACTAATTTATTCAGTTTAGCTCATGTCAAGCTTAACCTATAAATAGGATGACCATGTAATTTATAATTCAAACTAGATACTTTCGAGAGTAATAAGGGGCAGTATTAATGATTATGTTGGGACAATATGGGCAAGCTGAGTTTTATGATCAGCTTTTCTTATTAGGTTGACTCTCAAATATGGCAGTATTTTTTGAGAGAGAGAGAGAGAGAGAGAGAGAGAGAGAATAAAATCTGAGTTAGCAAATAAAGTTAAGAATGTTCATTAAACTGCTGTCCTTAAATCTACAACTCCATCGCCTTCCTCTTTACCTGGAGCAGATAACCTAGCACATCAAACCTCATAGAAAGACAGAAGCAATGAAGTAGGAACTTTCTCAATTGCTTGCCAACAACCTCTAATATAAGCTGTATTTACGTCCATCCTTTGCTCATTCTCTCAGGTTATAATACAACAGATGTCTTTTCTGCTTGCTTAGATTAATCCTTCCACTTGGATGAGGAGGCTTATCCCTTTCATCTTCCTAGCAACATTCCTCTACTTGATACCCTCCTCTCCTCCATGTTTCCAGTTTCTGACTCTCTTCTCTGGCATTCTTCTCCTCGATAATCCTTCCCATCATAAAAAATGGACAAAAACTCCTCTTTTGGGACTAGCCCTGAGATATAAAAACTTATATTTGGAACTATAATAATTAAAAGTCTGTCACTGGACAAGGAACAGAATAATCAAAGAAACAGAATAAAGAGTTTAGAAACAATAACATAAGGATTTGGTGTATGGCAAAAATGCCATTTCACATCAGGGAGATGGTTATTCATTAAATGGTGCAGACATAGGCAGAAAAGTCATTTCAAAAAAAGCATACCTCTTTCCTCATATCAAAAATTAATTACACTTGCTCAATGATTTTAACAGAGAAACTCAAGGTATAAAAGACAATATAATGGCGATATATCAACAAATTATTTGACTTCTCCTGCTTTTGAATGTGGGCTACATTTAGTGACTCACTTCCAACTAGTAGAGTATGGAAAAAGAAGATTAACCTTTCAGTGGAGAAATATGGCAGATGCTTTAAATAAGTGATGAAGTTTAATATTGCCAGCAATAAGACATACTGGTGTCACATACTCCTGATATGATTAGATGAGAAGGACTCTTCTTCTCTGTGATATACTTCCACCAAATCTATAACCTCAGTCTAATTATGAGAACTCATGACAAACTCCGACTGAGGGTCAGTCCACAGAATGCCTGGCCAGTCTATATGGATAGTGTAAGGGTCAAGAGAGACAAGAAAAGACAGAGAAACTATCACACTCAAGTAGACTAAGGAGATATGACAACTAAGAGCAATGTGGTGCCCTGGATTGGATCCTGGAACAGAAAAAGGAAATCTGAATAAAATCTGTAGTTAATAGTATAGTATCAATGTTAATTTCTTAGTTTTGATAATTATACTATAGTTATCTAAGAAGTTGATCTGAGCAAAGGGTATATGGAAATTCTGTGCTATCTTTTCCATTCTTCTGCAAATCTAAAATTATTTCAAAATAAAAATGAAAAAATAAAGATTATGATACAAAGTTAACTGAAAAAGGATCAAAGACTTAAATATAAAAGCTAAAACTACAAAATTAATAAAATAGGACAAAGCCAAAATGGGGAAGGATTGAAGGTGGGAGGGGGATAGGTGGGGCAGGGGAAAGTGGTGGTGGGAAAATGTACACAAATGTATTTGAACAATAAAAAAAAGAAAAAAAGAGAAAAAATAACACACGGGTGTACATTTTTGTGACCTTGGAACAATGGTTTCTTAGCTATGACACCAAAAGCAGAATCAACAAAACAGAAAATAGATGAGCCATACTTCATCAAAGGTAAAGTCTTTTGTGTTTTAAAGGATACCATCAAGAAAATAGAGATAGTTCATGAAATGGGAGAAAATATTTGCAAATAATAAAGCTGATAAGGGACTTATATATAGCATATCTAAAGAACTCACTTTTAATAATTAAAAAAAACAATTAAAATCAGACAAAGGATCTAAATAGACATTTCTCCAAAGGAGATCTACAAATGGCTAATAATCAAATGAAAAGATGCTCAACATCATTAACTATCAGGGAAATACAAATAAAAACCATAATAACATACCACTTTATAGCCACTAGGGTAGTTACAATCAATATGGCAGATAATAACAAGTGATAACGAACACGTGAAGAAATTGGAACCCTTATGCACTGCTGGTAGGAATTGTAAATGGTGCAGCCACTTTGGAAAACAGTCTGACGGCTCCTCAAAATATTAAACATAGAGTTCCCATGTGACTCACTCGTAACTATATACCTAAAATAAATAAAAACATATGTCTACACAAAAACTTTATACAAATATTGATAGCTGTATTATTCGTAACAGCCAAAAAGTGAAAACAACTCAAATGTACTTTAGTGAGCTGATAAATAAAAAGCGATATAGCTATACAATGGAATATCATTCAGCAATAAAAAGAAATTAAGTAGTGATACATGCTACGACATGGATGAACCTTAAAAACAATATGCTAAGTGAAAGAAGCCACTTATTATGAGTCCCTACATATGAAAAATCCAGAAAAGACTAATTTACAGAGACAGAAAGTTGATTACTTGTTGTACGGTACTGGAGGGGTTGGGAGTAACTGCTAATGGTATGGTGTTTCTATTCAGGGTGAAGAAAATGTCCTAAAATGGACTGTGATAGTGGTTGCACAACTCTGAATATACTAAACCACTGGACTGTATACTTTAGACGGTGTTAACTGTATGACACGTAATACATCTCAATAAAAGTGTTATAAAAAAGAACATTTAGGGTCACATACAAAAGATTATGGGGAAAATACTAGTAATTTTTTTAGAATCTTGGTTTTGGAAAGGTTATGGTAAAAATTTCAAAAATAATTAAATCATTTAACGAAGAATTTAAACATCTCTACCGAAAAGTGATATACACATAAATGTCTTGCTTAGTTTTCTGTATCACTAGATAGCATAGACCTTAAATAATTGTCTTTTCCTTGTTGTGTAATAAATCTCAGTCTTGGCCTATACTTACAGGTATAAATATTGTTGATTGAATATCAGACAGTCCTTTTTACATTAGCACACTCACTTATGATTCAATCATGGTATTACAAAATAGATTAATGCTTTTTTTTTAACTGTCATTTTCTGTGTAAAGACAAGCTAGAGTTATAAATCAGAAGCATTAAAAGACAAACCTGACAGAAAGAAAAGATAATTCATGGAGTGGAATAAAATACCTGCAAAACACATAGTTTATAAAGGGCTGGCATCCAAAATACCCAAAGAACTCATAAAATTCAAAAAGAAAACAACTCAAAAAATGGGCAAAAGATCTGAACTGACAACTCACCAAAGAAATAAAGATATACAGATGGAAAATAAGCATATTTGCTGAACATCTTATGTTATCAGGGAATTAAAAAAAGTCATGACCTTTACTCCTTTTCTGAAAACAAATTTGTTATTTCACTTTAAAGATGTGTACACTTAGGCACCTTGGCTGAATTTTACTAGAGAAGTGAAGTCAAAAGTCCACTGAGTTCATAACATCACCCTATCAAAGTCACATGGACAGTGCCTTTGTGCCCATCTCTTTGTTGCCAGTAGTAGTGACACTAGGCTATGAAAATGGCAATGGTTTAAGCGTCCAGGGAAATTGGAAATGGTAACTTTGGTGGAATTTTGTCAGAACTTGGCTCAAGAATGACTTCAACTAAATTAGGCAGTAGGACAGACGGCATCTGACTTTGATATTTCAAAAATATGTATGTGTGTATATATAGATATATCTGCACATTAGGTGTGTTAATGCATACATGAGAAACAGGGACTTTAAACAAAATTTTACTTATTTAATATACGATGGCCAAATTTGACAAAATTCCACTTTAATGAAATTTACATAGGAACATCCTTGAATTTGCAGTATGTATATTTCTTTATTCAATATCCAAAAATCAACTTAAATAAACTAAAATAAAATTAAACCAGTTGTAAGAGAATCCAAGATCCTGTTGTGAAATTTTTCTTGCAATTTAAAAATTTTCTGTTTTTAAGTAAAACAAAACAAAATACCATCCACACCATCCAACTGCATCATTTTACTTTATTTTTTTTTCTTTTAAGTGAAAGGAGAGGTAACGTAGTATTTTCACGAGTCATCGTGATGTTCTAGGAGCACCCATAACACGATAAGCCCCTGGAGTTAATGTTAGACAACGTAGAAAGTTCCTGGCTTTAGATATAATTCGGTGACTTAGAATATGAATGTTAATCATGATGTGACAGATCAGACTTCAAATTCTTGAAAATAGTCTAGGATGGCGACAAGGACGCAACTCAGGTCAAGACGAATGAGAAAAACCTGTGCAAATATTTTATCTATTTCCAACAATGCAAGAAATAACACCTGAGCTTTGGGATAGGGTCAGGACCAGACTTTTGGACGATTCAGTTCAGGAGTACACAGGGGGACCATTTTGATAAGCTTCCTCTGCTCATGACCTTTAGCCTAGTTGTCAATTCTTCCGACTGGGACAAACTCTGGAGGAACCTAGGGTCCACCACCTGGCGCAGACAACGTGACCTTTGTCCCAGATTAGCTTGAAAAAGCCGACGGGAAAGAACTGGGAGGAGAGAGCTGTCTACAGTCCCCAGGTGTGACCCTGTCAGTTTTCCCTAACTACTCGACCTCTCTCCACTTATTCCCCTCCCGAAATTCCCTCTCACCCGGGCAGGACAGCTTGGCTAGCGGCACCAACATTTTCACTGTAATCGGAACTCGCGTCGGACACAGCAGAAGGAAGACTGTCAGTGGCTCGCCGCAGGCGGTGGTCCTCTAGGCCTCAGGGGGCGCCATTACCTGCCCGGAAGCACCAACCCTTCTGCTGAACTTTGTCTCTCCGCTCAGCGGATCGCTTTGGTTTCACGGCGGTCACGCCTCTTTCTCGCTCTGCGCCGGCGCCACTCCTGACGCAATGGCCAGCCGAGGCTTCCAGGTTACGTACTCGAAAGGAGAGGAAAAGGGACTCCAAGTCCCTATGTGGCTCGCGGCTTCAGGTTGTGGATTGAGTCTGTGCTACAGGCTCAAAAGTCCCATAGTTCAACGCGCAACGACGCGTATGGCATCCTGGGAGTTGCAGTTTTTTGCAGATGAGTCTTCTAAGCCTGTATGGAGCTTTGCGCAGGAGCAGTGAGCTGTCCAAGGTGACTTGACTGACATCTGATTGGCTGTCCCGAAAAAATAAACCATGGTCGCGGTATTGGGCAGACGTCCACAAGGAGACTGGGCAGGATTTGGGGTGGGAGGAGGCGGGGCTTCTGGGCTTAGGGCGCGAGCGGTTGAAAGACGGTGTCGGTAGTGCCAACTTCGGATTCGGCTGTCCCAGCCCTTCTCCATGGCAGACCAAGAGGAGGTACGGGTTTCTTCGCAGCCCCCGCCGACTTCCTTGTCTTCCTCGTCTTCAGATGCATCTTCAACATCTTCCCCCGGCGTTCCAGTGAGTTTGGATTGGCCAGTTCCGAGCAGGAGCAGCGGCCAAACGGTGGACCCACTGGAGGAAGTGGAGTTACAGATCGGAGACGTGAGTGTCGCCCGACAGGTCCCGGGGCCGCGTCCCCACGGGAGCCTGTTGGAAGACGGACCGTGACGGGGCCAGAGAGGGGGGAACTGTGAACCTGTACACCCAGCATGGCGCATCTCGTCCTTCAGCCCCTTGAGGATTCCACCTTTAGATTTAGTGTTGAGGAATTAGAGGTTATTCCTTCACCTGCCCGTCTTCAGTCTTTTTGCCTCGCCTTCTGGTTTCAATCATCCTTGTAACCCGAAACCACGCAGCTCTGCTGCAAGGACGTATGCTACCTCTGCCTGCCCTATTATCCTCCCCGCCTTGTCTGTGGGCGCTTGGGATTAGGCTGTGATTTTTCTCTCCGTGGGACTTAAGAGCCCGCTGTTCTAGTTGGCCACCTGCCCTGAGCCAGCTGACAATGCTAATGTCTGTCTTAGGCTGTCTTTTCGCTGGACCGAGTTTGGAGGGGTTAGTTCCCCCCCATGGAGCCCATATAGGTTTCTTTAACGGTTTAGTCCAAGATCCCACGCTCTGATTCCTTGAATGAGTGGTCTGTTGGTTTCTGTTGAATCTCGAATTTCCAGAAAATAACACGCGCAGGCGCGCGCACCAGCTGCAACTCTAACTCCAACACCATCGGAGAAGGCGGGGCTGGGGGGGGGGGGAAGGCACTGTTTCAGCATTTAAGGACTCTTGAGTGGGTCAAGTGAATGAGGTATTTAGGGTATAATCTTCCTGGGAGAACTTTGTGGAATAAATTGGAAACTGGGGAATGAACTTGACTATCTCGTGGATCAAATATTTGTTTTTTTCAAAAATGTACAAAGTGTTGATACAGCTTCTATTTTTGCTGAACCAGACTGGTTTCAAGTGAATATGTAGAATGAGGTCAGATGTGTTATCTAGGAACAGTGTTATTTTAGATCATAGAAGAAAACATTTCATTTAAGAAGTGAGTTTCCCCACAAGAGTTCGGTATTTTCTCCCTCTTTTTTTATTATGTTGATTTCATTTGTCAGCTAAGTATCTGTTCTTTGGTCTATCTGTTTTCATAGTCTAAAGCGTTCACACCTAAGAAGAGTGAGCAATGCCTTTGTTACCCAAATATCAGTAAGTTGTTTGTGAGTCCTTCAGATACTTCTACTTTGTGTCAAGGGGTCTAAGTCACCTCGTTGAGCTAAATGACACTCCACTGTATTTTCTAATTAAAAAAGCAACAACTGACTTACCATGTCTCATACGTAAAGGGTATCTTTCCAGCTTACTTCATATTAAAGAACTTTTTAGTTTCCCTGAAAGAGCTGGTGTTTTAGTTTGAAGATATTTTTACTTTTAAAGAAAATAACTTTAGCATTGGATTTAAGGTTTTAAGCTATTTTTAGACTATAAAATGAGATGTGGATTTAATGAATAAACTCCTATTGTTTGACTTTTTATTTTTCAATTTCAGGCAGCATTTTCATTAACCAAACTTCTTGAAGCCACATCTGCAGTATCAGCTCAAGTGGAGGAGCTTGCCTTCAAATGTACAGAAAATGCACGTTTTCTTAAAAGATGGCGGGACCTCTTGAAAGAAGGCTATGATTCTTTGAAGCCTGACAACTGATTTGGCTGTGGAATAACTCTTGCTTCCTCATTTATGATATTTGCACATGTACCATAGGTATAGTAAAATCGCCAGTATACTTAAAATACTTTAAGTATACTTAAAGTGGAATTTTTCTTGTTTTCTTCACTTTTGTGAAAGCAGATTACGGATGTTTTTGATGCTGGCTAGTCTTTGTTTACCTTCAATATATTCTGTCTAAACTTTTATAGAATCTTTTATGACAGTTAATTTCAGCAGTAGATAATAATACCACATTGTTACCAGTAGCAAACTAGGTAGAACACTATTCTTTTTGATTTGCAAGAAGATGCCAAGAGTAATCAAGTTTGAAGTTGAGCTTCATTTTATGGACCAAGGAAGAATAATGTTAGATTCAGCTCCATTAGGCTAAGTTCTCTAGAACCAACCACTGTATCTTAATTCCACATTCCCAGCACCTAGAAAAGTGTCACATAATCACTCTTAAGTTTGTTGGATAAAAGAGTTGACAACATAATTAAAATCTATTTTTTTCTTCTGTTTTTAGCATGAAGGTTATAATTGTTTTCCTAAAAAATATTTGAGTCAAATATTTACAGGGATTTGAACTTTAACTGATGACAGCTTTTTACAGTATATGATAAATATTTTTTGCCCTTCTATTATACTTTTTAAAAAGACTTTTACTTAAGAAAATACAAGCTTGTATAGAAAGAATGCATATTTTTTCCCTTTTTATTTCTAAGGTTAACTGCATCTACAGATAATATTTTTTGCATTCCAAGTTGTTAGGTCTTTGATTGCTGTCTGTAAAGTGCCTTATCACAATAATAGCTATGTACTGTTGCTTTTGGAGCTTTGTAAGTAATAATTCTAAACTCTAAATATAACATTTTTAAAGAAGTTACTCTGTTTTTAATGCAAAAATTTAAATGATGCCATTATTTCCATATTATTTGCCTTTATTGACTGTGTTCTATTTTACTTGTTCTGTATCTTATGTTGCTTTCTCTGTCTTTGTCTCTCTCTCTCTAGCGGTTTGTGTCATGTGTCAATGATTAAGCCAATTAATTTTCTACTGTATAACTCTGGACATCTTTGATGTGGCATCTTAATTCTTTGTAGATATGGAGACATGTACAGGACTACATTCTACAGCTCCACAATGTGGCTATGAAAGGGGACGAATGGATGGGCAAAGAATAGTTTTGTGTAGCATATTAAGTCATAGTTCCTGATTAATTTTTTTAAGTTAAAGATAACACACATTGCCCTGGCTGGTGTGGCTCAGGTGATTGAGCACCAGCCTGAGAACCAGAAGCTTTCTTGTTCAATTCCCAGTCAGGGCACATGTCTGGGTTATGGGCCAGGTCCTCAGGTGGGGAAATGCGAGATGCAACTGATAGATGTAGCTCTCACACATTGATGTTTCTCACCCTCTTTCTTCCCTTCTCTCTAAAAGTAAATAAATAAAATCTTAAAAAACAACAACAAAAAATAACATATATAGTATGTACCTGTACCATACAGTTACGTATTCTGATAATAGAAAAATATTTTTATGTCATGAAAATTGAAATTTTCAAATGTAAAAATAAACTTGTTAAAAGCAAATTTTATTTCTGTTTCTTTGGGTCCATTACTCTAAAGTGTTTTATTTAAGTATTTCAAACATAACAAGAAAGGTGAGTGATTTAAAGGACACAGTGCATTTCCACCATGCATATTTAATAAATGTTAGCATTTGGCTATATTTTCTTCAGATTTATGTTTGTATGGAGGTTACTTTTATTTGGAGAAGTGGAAAGATGGAAGAGTGAGTGAAATGAATAGACAGGAAACCAAATGGCTTCCAGAAAAGCATTTGAAAATATTTTAGAAGCTAAAAGGTAATTTCAGAAATATTTGAGTATTTTGTAAATTTGCAGAATTTCTAAGACCCTTAGATAGGTCACAATCATAATTTTTGTAGGAATACATTTTATCTATTCTGTCTTCATAATTATCACTTTTGTTCTTTTCTAGATACTCCATTATTTTAGTAGTAATACTTCTTTAATAAATAATCCTAATATACCCTTTGAAAATAAATGTATTTTTACTTTTGTTAGCTTTTTAAAAATTACAGTCTAAGTAGTTAGAGAATTGAATTATTACAAGCAGAACTGAAGTTTTTTGCCCTGGCTGGTGAGGCTCAGTGGATTGGGTGTTGGCCTGTGAACTGGAAGGTTGTGGGTTTGTTTCCTACTCAGGGCACATGCCTGGGTGTGAGCCCAGTGCAGGGCGTGTGAGAGGCAACCAAACAATGTTTCTTTTTCTCTCCCCTCTCTCTAGAAATAAATAAAACTTTAAAAAAAACAGCTTTCTGCTCTGATTTTTCTTGAAAGTATATCACATTTCTTATGTAGAAAACTAATTGGAACCATTCCAAGAAGGAACAGAAAGAACTCAAAGCAATCCATATTTTTAATAGAATTATATTTCAGGTGATTTATTTTCAAAAGAAATCTATACAATTCTATACTCAAATATTTTTTGATTCCAGTATTTTTTGTGTTCAAACATTTTTGATATATTTAAAACCACCTGAAAATATTTTATTTTTTTAAAGCTTTCAGATTATGAAAGCATGAAATACAATAGCTCAGAGACCAGTAGAATAACTAGCAAAAAAGAATGATCTGTTTGGCTGCGCAAAACAGAAGGTAAATCCATCTCTTGATAACTACTTTCTCTTTAGAGCAAACATGTGTAGAGACCTTGACTTCCTGAAGTTCCTGAATGTGTGCATTCTAGCTCTTTTTTTCCTTTGACCTCCTGTATTGAGATACAATTTATGAACCATAAAATTCACCAATCTAAACTGTATGGTTTTTATTATAACTGCAGAGTTGTCTATCCATCACCATAATCAATTTGAGAACTTTTTCTTTGCCTAAAAAGATACTCTCCATTTCTTAGGCATTACCCTTCCAACACTCCCTCCGCCAAAAACGCTAATATTTCTGTCTCTATGAATTTGCTTATTCTATATATTTCATGTAAAGGGAAGCATACAGTATTTTTCCTTTTTTGTCCTATTTCACATTCATCATGTAGCATGTGTCAGAACTTAATTCCTTTTTATAGCTAACTAATAATTGCATATATATTCTACATTTTATCCATCAGTTGATAGGCACTTTGGTAGTGAGTATTTCCATGCAAATATCTGAGTCCAGTTTTCATCTCCTGGGTTCATACCCAGGACTGAAATGGCCAGATCATACTGTAATTCTGTGATAAGCTTTTGAGGAACCACTAACCTGTTTTCTACAGTGGCTATATCATTTCACACTCAAACCAGAAATGTGGAAGGAGTTTCAATCTCCGTATCCTTGCCAGCATGTAATTTTTTTAATTAGAACCCTCTTAGTAGATGTGATGTGTTATCTCATTGTAGTTTTGATTTACATTTCCCTAATAGTGACGTTGAGCATCTTTTCATGTGGTTATTGGCCATTTGTATATCTTCTCTGGAGAAATTTCCAAGTCCTTTGCCCATTTTTAAATTGAGCTCCTTGTCTTTTTTGTTGAGTTACAGTTCTTTAAATATTTTAGATATTTCAATTCCCTCAGATATATGATTTCTAAATATTTTCTTTCATTTTGTAGGTTTTTTAAAAACTTTTTTGATAATGTCCTTTGATAAAAGTTTTTAATTTAGATGAAATTTATTTTCTCCTTTTGTTCCTTATGTTTTTGTTGTCTTATCTAAGGATCAGCTGCCAAGTCCAAGGTCTTGAAGACTTAGTCATGTTTTCTTCTAAGAGTCTTATGTTTTATATTTAGGTTGTTAATTTATGCTGAGTTAATTTTTATATATGGTGTAAGGTAGGGGCCAAACTTCATTCTTTTGTATGGGACTTATCCCAGCATCATTGAAAGACTTTTTTCTTCATTTGATTGTCTTGGCATTTTTGTTGAAAATTAATTGACTGTAAATGTGAGGATATTATTTCTGGACTCTCAGTTTCTATTCCATTGATCTAAATGTCTATCCTCATCTTAGCTTTTCTGACTCACTCCTTAGCAACACTTTCACTCTCCTTTTCCAATCCCATACGTTCTCAAAGCAAAAAGAAAATTGGGCAGGAAGTGGCAGAGAAGTACTGTTTTGAGTTTATATTGAGTCATAGCAATAAATACATTATACTGGTTCTCAAGCATACAAAGACTTGAGACAGTTAAGATGAATTCTTAAAACAGAATATCTGTATTTTGCAAACAATCAGATATTTTCTCTGATGCACTTAAATTGACTGTTCCAAAAGTTTAACCCCTTATTTGAAACTGTGATTTTTAGGTTTGCTGATATACATGGCAGACAAAGCTCTACTTTAATCTGAGAGCCACCGATGGACTTTGTATATTCTGTAAACACAATTTAACATTGAACATTCAGAAGGTTCTATACTGTCTACTTCCAGGAGTTTACTGCAGTGCCATGCACATGGGGGATACTCAAGAAATGCGAAAAGAATGAATGAATCTTTTTGAAGTAGATCTCTCTTAAATTTCTTATGCAAAATATGTGCTTGTATGTACACATTATCAATATAATTTATTCCCCTAATTTATCTTAGCCATTAATATATATTAATTTTGTGGCATTCATTTTATGCTAATCCATTCTGAAGCTCCCCAATAGAGTTCAGAGTCAGCTATGAACAGGAGTTGAGTCTAGTTGATTGAGAAATTAGTGACAATTCATAGGGGTCTCTGAAAAGAGCTGGCTTCATGAACTTAGGTGGCATCTCCTGCAGCGGCCACATTTCTACCCAGATGACTGATGGAGCATATGTTTTCCGACTTCCTTTGCTGTTGGTCGATCTTCTTTGTCTGTAGTTATTCCAAAACTGGTGGATCATTTCTTTGAATGGTCTTGTGGTCAGAGTGTAAAGAATTGGGTTCAAAGCACTGTTGATGGGCAAAATAAAAATCACTACCCAAGAGGTTATGGTACCTGGAAGGGAAAAATGAAATAGTTTTCGTACTTACGGATGTTTGAAAGCTATAGAAACCCCTTTTCCTTGTTTCTACCCTAGGCCCCTTTTGAGTCTCTGTTTTTTCCATTTGATGTCCCATAATTAAGTACCAAGTGTATGTGTGTTCCCAGGATGTCTTTCCAGGGGGCCAGTATTTGAGGGGCATTCTGGTGCTTCAAAAAGTCAGGGTATGTTGCTAAATAGCTTTTCTCAAATACTTCAGAAAATTATCCCATTAGGTGGAAATATTTTCCCTTAGGTGAACTGTTGTTTAGTATGGAACCATACCTCTGAAATATTTTAATTACTAGCTGGTTTATATATAACTATTGCTCAGAATGTATATTCATCTTTCACAAATTTCTTTTCAACTATTTTATTTGTTTTTAAAAAATAGGTATGTATTTCTAGGCTTCTCATTAGCTGTAATATTTATTTTAATTAAAACATCTTTGACTAACCTTATCTTAGAAAATCACTGTATATGATTGCAACTTAGATTTTTATTAAAATTTAATTAATGCTATCTTTCTTCATTGCTTATAAAATATAAGATGCTATCACTACCAATCACGGGATAAGACAAAATTAAAAATTTATGTTTTTAAATTTTTAAAAATATGAATGCACCTTGCACTATGCAGGATTTTATACATTTCTAAAATTGTGGCAAAGTACATATAACATAAAATTTACCATTTTAATCATTTTTAAATGTATTAAGTACGTTTCAAATTATTGTGCAAACATCACCATCATGCATCTCCAGAACTTTTTCATCTTGACAAAATGAAACTCTGTACCTAATAACTCCCTATCCCCTTCTCCTTCCAATGCTTAACAATACCATTTACAAATTTCCTGTCTCTATTATTTGACTTCTCTAGTTGCTTCCTAAAAGTGGAATCAGACCATATTTGTCCTTTTATGACTGGCTATTTCACTTAGCATAATGTTTTCAATGTCCATCCATGCTGTAGCATGTATCAGAATTTCCTTCCTTTATAAGTCTGGGTATTACATTTTGCAAATGTGACACATTTTGTTCATTCATCCATTGGTGAACCCTGGATTGTTACCACCTTTTGGCTATTGTGAATGATGCTGCTATGAACGTGGGTGTATGAATGTCTGAGTAACTGCGTTTTCTTCTATCATTCCTCATACTCTAGGGGTAATGTTCTTTGAATTGCTCTGTATTCCAGGAAAAAAGTTTCTTCTGAAATAAATGGTTATTTAACAATCAGTTTGACCTATGTTCCTTCTGGTCATCTTAAGCATGGGATTACCAGAATTTCAACACAGTGTGTGTAATTTACTTGAGTCATTGTTTCTTTGTTCCAATAGTAATTATGATTTTAGACACTTATGGAAAGAACTGAACAGCTTCCAGTAAACATTTTATTGATGAAGGGAACCTGAAGTACATATAACTCTCACTTACAATTCTTGAAATGAGTTAGTGTTAAGAATCTAAACTTTCTTTCTTATAGGAGCACTGTAAAAACATACATTATTTCTTTACAGAAAGAAGAAAAAGTTGTACCTGGTATTTCTACCTGAAGCAATGAAAGGAATTTCAGTACAAAAATGGGTATCCAGCATAATGCATCAGTAAACACAATAAAGAAAAACCGTTTGGCAAGAATTATCTCTTTTTTAACTTGATTCCGTATTTCAGTTGATGTTATGGTGCTTTGATGAACGCTGTAAAACATGCTTCCATAGGAAAAAACTATGATAACAAATGCCGCCAAGTTAATACCTATTTAGAACACAAAGATTATTATTAATGTATAGAAACATTCTTTCAAAAAACAAAAAGAAAACATACCCTTAGCTGATATTATTAAAGAGAAGATAAAAAAACCGTGACATGCTTTTTGTCCATAAGAATTAGCAGGGTACACAGAGATCATGAATTTTTAAAAATTTGAAGTATTGTTTAAGTAATGAGGAAAGATGAAATGTTTAATTTTGAAATGGCATATTAAAATGAGATCATAGTGATTCAGTGAATATCTTGGGCCTATGAATTTAGTATTTTAAAAAATAATTATGTTATATTGTGAAAAAACATTTCCAGGAGAAAACACTTACTTGTATGTCTACTAAAGCCAAAGACTTCTCTGGCTACTTTGGATTTGTTCATATAATAAAGGCAAAGACTTAAAATACAAGTGTTTAGTGTCTTGTTTTTTTTTTTAAGGTGCATCATGTTGGAATTTATATGGTAAAAGGAAATTTAAAAAAATCTTTTAGGGGATTCTGATAGAATTCATCCCCATTGTCAATGAGAAAAACTGGTTAGAAGACCTGAAATAAAAAATTTGTAAGCATTGAGGTTCATGTTTTGATTTATTGTAACATTTGTATGAAAGAGCTCATAATACAGAATTTCTTACCAAGAAAAATTGCCACTGAATAAATCTGGGCTCCAATACTTTCTGTATCTTCTGAATGAAGAGGGAAACATACTCCATTGGTGCCATAGTAGTTTTTGAAATATTCCTTATTGCTCAGAGGAACAAAAGCCACTATAATCCCAATAATCCAAATGAGAATCAGTACTGTAATTGTTCTGCATTTTCTAGGTCTTAAATATCTAAAAGGATACACGATATAGATATATTTCTCCAATGTCAGAAATGTTAAAAGTAATACTGAAACTTCTGTAGACAGAATGGCCAAAGATCCCATAAGCTGACAATGAAAACTCTCTATCCACAGTTGTGCATGCTTACTGTATTCTCCACGAAACTTTAGGTCAAAGGCTCCAATCACAAGTAAATATATTCCCATTAGGCAGTCAGCACCTATAGGGATCAGTAAATTTCACAAACTTAGAAAAATAGGTATACTGGAATTATCAATAAGCATTAATATTTTGGTATATATAATATTTTACATATATAATATATCCAATATTTTAGCAAAAAACAACCAAGTTTCTTTTGTCTTGGGGGGAGCTAATTTTTATTCTAAGAATTCGTTTATGGGTAAGGACCTCTTCATCAACTCTCAGATAACCACTCTTATAGTGTCCTTTATAGCTAAAAAGTAATCATTTCTCTGTTCTCCTTAAACATGTAAGTCTATGACAGCAGGGATCTTGTGTCTTGTTTTTCATTCTAGCCCATCACCTAGAAGTGTTGAAAAAATGGATAAAATGCAATTATGTCAAGCATTGGGTTAGGGACCAAGACGGGGATGTTATTATTGGTTCACCTCTTCCACTGAAATCCTCTCAGCTTAACAAGCTGAAGACATCATCCAAAATCCCAGAGAAAATAATTCAGAAGTTGCTGTAATAGAGTACTGAGTCTGAATTTTGAGGTCCATAATTTAGGAGACATGAATAAGTACAACGTGCTTTGCAGTCAGTACAATTTTAGGAGGCTTCAATTATTTACCCAGAGCTGGCCTAAGAAAGCTTGTTCTCTCTGATTCTCAGTTCCCACTTTTATATCTTTCTCTGTCTCATTTTAGGCTTTCCCATTCCCTAAATCAGCTGTCAATGTGACACCTTACTTGTTTAAGCAAACATTACATATCTGAAAGTAGGTGAGTTTTTTTTTTTTACTGTACAAGAAATCCACACAGGTTTCTAAAATCACATCACTGTATAAATCATAAGGCTGATCCTCATCCTTAAATACTGAAGTTACATTCTAGTGTTCACCAGGGAAATTGAGAGTCCTCAAAATTTTGTAACTAACAATATTGTGTACAGAGTAGTAAATAAATTCTGAGTTCTGTTTCTTATGTAGTTTGCAATGAAAAAAAATTAGACATTAGACTTTGAACGAGGCTGGGGGTAACACATAGGCCAACACATAAAATGATTGATGCTTGACTGAGTGACTATAAATAAATTATAGGCCACTTAAACTGCATTGTAAACACCCTGACTAGTTTCTTGCTTATTTTTCTTTGTAGTCCTCATTTAACATAATACCTATGCAATCACATTTCAAAAACTTAAAATTTTATTCAGATGAACTAAAAATATTTTCTTTAGATATTTTAAATTATGACTGCAAAAGATTCTAGCAGCTCAAAGACCAGAAAAACAACAACCTGTTGCATATATTTCAAACAAAAAATAAGTAAATACAGCCCTGGATATAAAAATGTTAGCATGAAAGGTTTTATTCGTAGTAAAAGATTTTACAAGCTTTAATAACGTGTTATGCCTCCAGAGAAGAAAACTTGAATGAATGAGAATGTCTTTATGAGACAAAGGTAATGAATGAGAGCTTCGTTAATTTGTGTAAGGTGATTGAGTTTTCTTGTTTTAAAACTTTCTTTCTCATCACTAATTTTGTTATCATTGCAGTGAATAAGAAAGCAATAGAAGAGCAAAAAGGAGAATATTTTAAAATCTCATAATTCTACCCCTATTTACTTATTTTTCTAATGACAATGCTTTTGTATATTTTGAAACTATAATTCCTCTTCAATCAGGAAATACTCACAGCAGAGAGATATGATTGACATGGCATGCAGCTTGTTCTCAGACCTGATAAAAGGTCGCATACAAATGACAAAGATGTTTCCCAAGCATGTAACTATAGACACAACCCAGACGAACACTCTCTGAATGATGTTTGCCAAGAGATTCTCTAGAGATGAGATTCCATCAGTGTTTGGTTTACAGCTGCGAACATGTGGTGCATATCCACAGTACTGGAATTTCTTAAAATAGCTGATGTGCAAAGAGAAGGTAAAAATAAGATTGTAAATTAATTTAGTCTCGCTATCCATTAATATTTATATTCTACATTTTCTCACTGTAAATAAAATGTCTTAATGTGAGACTTAGAGGAATGTAAAACATTAGGAATACTGAAGCTTTAAACTTTAAATTTTAGAGCTTTTAGCTTTAAATCAAGTTTAATTCTCATGAACTTTTACAATAAAATCAAGTTTAATTCTCATGAACAATAAAATCAAGTTCATGAGAATTAAACTTGATTTTATTGTAAAAGAACATGTGGGTGAGAGCAGCAAATAGGCATAATGAATACCCAAGTGTTATACATGTCTTAGAATATAAATAAACTGTTAGCATGTGATCAAGAGACTCCATCACGGAAAGCTTTCCTGGGTGTTTTGTGTTCAATGTAAATGCACTGTTGCATGCCTCCTGTTGTTGCTGTGGCTGATCTTGCTTTTTAAGCCTCAGGGGAAGAGAGTTAACGTGCTTTCTGCTCTGTGTTTCCATGGCTTTTCTATTACAGGAGTTGTGTGTTCTGTAACTTCTTGCCAGCATGCCTATCTCACACTCGGTTTTGGTACATATTCATTGAGTGTGTTCTTTCATCAATAGAGAGAACTCCCTTGTTGATAAAAACACTACCTGGATAACCAGAAGTTGTTATTGTGTTACCACCACCACTATTTATTAAGCATCTTCCAGGTTTCAGGAACAAATTCTCTAGCTCCTTGAGGTAGAAAAGAACAAGAAGAACATCTGCTTACATGTAAGAGAGATTCATAAGAGGTCTGAACATCCTTTGTTGGATATTTGAAATTTCAATTCCTTCTAGGCTGCTAAAATATCAAATTAGTTATCAAAATAACATGTTATACAGGGTACAATAAAATGAGTTTCTGTGAAGGACAATTTAATACAATGCTGTTAGTTACATATACTCTGAACCAAACATTCATACTCAGCCTGTCCTACAGGAACTTTCCCAATTCCTTTCTGATTCTACTAGTTATACACATTTTTTTCTGTATCTATCTCCCTTATTTGAAGTTTTTTGATGCTCATAGATCATGGCACAATGCTTTGTGCATAGTAATTACTCAATATTTGGGGAATAAATGAACAAGCATTATCTTTTAGAAAATATTGAAACAGCAGAGGAGTATTACATTTTTGAAAATTTTCTAATAATTTTTAGTTTTTCCCTAATAAAATGTCATTTTACTGAGGGAACACAAATTAACTGAAGCAAAGCTTATCTTTTAAGGTACTTCTCAGATCCTAACATAATACCCCCTTTTTTTTTGTGGTGCAAGTAATGATTTACATTATCTAGAATATTCTATCTTGAGATAAAGATTCATATATAAATTTCTAAAAATCCAGTGCCAATGGAGAAATGTGTATGCATAGATGCCTTCAGAGGATCAAAGCAACCAATCCAATGTAAGCTCAGGGTGATTATAAAAAAAAACAAAATGATTCATCATTATCTAACTTTTAGTTTACAAATACATAAGATAAAGCTAATAGTTAATATGTTTATAGTCCGGCAAACACTCATTTTACATGTTTTTGTGGAGCTTAACTAATATGCTGGGAACAAAACCTCTGAATTAAAAGATTCATGGATCTTATTTTATATAATTTATTAGTTATTAGTAGACACATAACAATTTCATCATAAAACATCCCCATGAGCATATACTTACAGAGACTTGAGACTGACAAGAGAATCAAATTGGTTTGGTTGAAGTTTCTGGATTGGGTTATAGGAAAGATTCCTGTTTTTTTAAAAAAGGCAGCAATAAGTCATTTCTAAAAACTGCTTGAGTAGAGAGAAAGTGTATCTGTTGACTTTGGGTTACTTTTAAACATTAACAATAAAACTACAGTAATAGCACATGTCTCATAGGATACTTTTAAATAAATTAATGGAGATAAAACACTTTGGTTTCTGGCTTTTAGTAAGTACTCTATGACTGTGTTAGAGAGAGAGAGAGAGAGAGAGAGGAAGAAGTAGGAGGAGGAGGAAGAGGAGGAGGAGGAGGAGGAGAAGGAGGAGGAGAGAGAGTGAGCCCGAAGACATGAGCATGGAGGTGGAGTTGTCAAGAGAGAAACCGAACCTACTTCACATTTTGCCTAGGATCAGGTGTGATTTGAATAATAGAAAAAAAATCAAAAATTTTTAATTTTATTTAGTAAAAATCTGAATTAATAGGGTTACACTGAATATTTTTCACATAAATTATATGTCAGAGTGGTATATTGTACCGGCAATTTGTGAGGCATAAAGTGGAAAGTAAGAGGCTCTAGCTAGAAACAAAAAGGTAGATCGTAGTGATAGTACAGCAGAATATAAATGTAGAAAACTTCAGAATCTTTGTAAAACAACAACTGAAAGAAGAATAATTGATTAAAGGGAGCTCCTCAGGGCAAGTTCCCTTTTTAAGAAATGTTTTCTAGATTAGACTATTAGCTATGTGGGGGAAGGGGATGCTGCTGGGGGCGGTGGTTACAGAAAGAAGGAAAGAGGGGAAGAATGAGAATAAAGAACGAGTCCTCTAATTTACAAAGGTGAACTCAACAATTTAGGAATAGAAGAAACTATTTTAACCTAATGAAGGTCATATAGAAAAGCCCACAGCCAACATCATTCTCAGTGGTGAAAGGCTGAAAGCATTTATTTTCTCTAAAGACAGTAATAAGACAAGGATGTTTGCTTTTACCACTTCTACTGAAAGTCTTAGCTAGAGTATTAAGCAAGAAAAACAAATAAAAGGCATCCAAACTGGAAAGGGGGAAGTACAATCTCTGTTCATGGATGGCTTATCTTATGTGTAGAAAACCCTAAAGACTTCACACACATACACATGCACACACACAAACTATTATAACTAATAAACAAATTCAGCAAAATTCCCAAATACAAAATTAATGCACAAAAGTCAAATGTATCTCTATATACTAACAATGAACAACCCAAAAATGAAATTATGAAAACAATTTCATTTATAATAGCATCAAAAGGATAAGATACTTAGAAAAATAACTCAACATAGGTGAAAGACTTATACTTTGAAAACAAGATGTTGCTGAAAGAAATTAAAGAGGAAGTGAATAAATTCTGTGCTTATGAATTGGAAGACAATATTGTTAAGATGTCGCTATTACCAAAAGTAATCTACAGATTCTGTGCAATTTCTATCAAAATACCATATATTGCAGAAATAGAAAAATCAATCCTAAAATTCAAGTGAAATTTCAAGGGCGCCTGAACAGCTAAAATAATCTTGAAAAAGAACAAAGTTGGAGGTCTCACACTTCCTGATTTCAAAACTTACTGCAAAGGTACAGTAATCAAAGCATGTGGTACTGGCATAAAGATGGATATATAGGGGTGGGCAAAAGAAGGTTTGCAGTTATAATACAAATTAATAATACAATAATTAATAAATAATAATAAGAGAATAAACTGTTTGACATACTTACAACTGTAAACCTACTTTTGCCCACCCCTGCATATACCAATGAGGTAGAATAGAGAGCCTAGAAATAAACTCTTGTGTACATGGTCAAATGATTTTCAGCAAGGGTGCTAAGATGGTCCAATGGGGAAAGGGCAGTCTTTTCTACAAATGGTGCTGGGAAAACTAGATAGATACCCATATGCAAAAAAAAAGAAAAAAAGAAAAGAAAAGAAAAGAAAGAAAGAAAGAAAGAAAGAAAGAAAGAAAGAAAGAAAGAAAGAAAGAAAGAAAGAAAGAAAGAAAGAAAGAACTTCTTTAACTGGTGTGCCACAAGGATTTTGAAAACATGCAATACCTGACTATTTAGTCAGGGGCACTGACCTCTTTTCCATTAGATTGTCAAATAAAAAACATGACAACAGCCAACACAACAATTGTTGCTCAGTGTGAATAAATCAAAATTATACCTAACTTTTGTTAGATCAGCAAAAGATATATTTTTTTGGTGTGCTGCAGAATTTTAGCAATTAGTTTATATGTGTCATGAGATGAAAATGGTTGTAAATTGTTGACTTACACTACTTACAAAATTAACTCAAAATGGATCAGAGACCTAAATATAAAAGTGAAAGCTGTAAACTATTAGAAGAATATCTTTGGGAAAACATTCATGACATTGGATTAGGTGATGATTTCTTGCATATGACACCAAAAGCACAGGCAACAGAAGAAAAGATGAAAAAACTAGACTACATTTAAACTAAAAACTTTTGAGCATGAAAGGATGCTATCAACAGAGTGAAAAGGCAACCTACAGAATGGGAGAAAATATTTGCATATTATATATGAAAAGAGTTTGATATCTAAAGATATAAGTTTAATAAGAGTTACATATCTAAAATACATAAAGAACTACTACAACTCAACAACAAAGGACAATTAAAAATGAGTAAAAGACTTGAATAAATGTTCTCCAAAAAAGATAAACTAATGAATAAGCAAATTAAAAGGCACTCAAACATCATTAGTCATTAGGGAAGTGCAAATCAAAAATACAATGAGATACCATTTCATATCCATTAGGTTAGCTGTTATCAACAAAATAAAAAATAAAAAGTGTTGTTGAAGTTGTGGAGAAATTGGAACCATTGTACACTGCTAGTGAAAATGTAAAATAGTGTAGCTGCTATGGAAAACAATATGGAGTTTCCTCAAAAAATTAAAAATAGAATTATCATATCATCCAGCAACTCTACTTCTGAGGCTATACACAGAAAAGAATTGAAAGCAAGGTTGAATTGAAATTTGGACACTTATAACAGCTTTAGTCACAATAGCCAAAAGGTAGAAACAATCCAAATGTCCATCAATGGATGAATGGATAAACACACTGTGGTGTATACACATAGTGGAATATTACTGTGAAAATAATATTAATTAATTAATTATAAAATGAAATAAAAACAATTAATGAATTAATATTATTATTTACAATACTAATATTCAGATATTCTGGCATATGCTACAACATAGATGGATTTTGGAAACATGCTAAGTGAAATAAGCAAAGGACAAATATTGTATGATTCCATCTATATGAGGAACCTAGGGTAGTCAAATTTATAGAGACAGAATATAGAGTAGTGGATGTTGGTGTGTGTGAGGGTGATGGTAAACTATTATTTAACAGTTATGGAGTTTCAGTTTGGGAAGATAAAAAAGTTCTAGAGATAGATGGTGTTGATAGTTGCACAATAATTTAAATGTAGTTAATGTCACTGAACTGTACACCTAAAAATAGTTAAAATGGTAAGTTTTAGGTTATGCATATTTATCACAATTTAAAACAGAAAAGAAATTAAGAAATAAATGAAGTGAGAAAATTAATATCAGTCTTACAATTTTGAGAGCTCCTTCAGGTTCTCAAATACATGCGGTGAAAGACTTTCAATCCTATTATTTCCTAAATCCCTAAGGAAATAACAGCAAAAGTCATTATTTTCTTAAGACTTTATATATTGTTCTATAATTGATTAGTAAACCATTTATACCACTTTTAACAATGCCATTGAGTAATACCAATTAGCAGAAAACTAAAAGTTTTAAAAAAGGGAGTGAAATGGGAAAAGATAAAAATATTTTATCTCATTTCATCACTCCCTCAGAGACAAATGCTTGATGGTATTTAATCTGGTTCTAATAGGTACAGTTTTCTAATTCAGTTAATGTATGTGTTGTGCCTCTTCTTTTTCCTTCATCTTATTCTCCTTCCTTCTTTGCATGCTAGAGTAGAAATGCAGTTTGGAGCTTAAATTTTTAATTTTGCTTGAGTTTATTATGACTTTGAAATTGAAGTTGATTTTCAAGAGCATGTTTCTTTCACAGCTGATACACGTGGATCATGTGTACTCCTTGGGCAGGACATTTTGTGCTACCTTACGTAGGTATAGAGGTTGGGTTGCCTCATACAGTGCAGCCTTTTAGTTTAGGTGTAAGATTTTTGACTGTAGCACCTCATGTAGTTTTGACAGCTGCAGCTCTCTTGAGAAAGTCCTCAGATTCTTCTAGACAAGACAGTATTTCAATAGGCCTGAATTAAGTCTCCAATGTGATCAAGAGATACTAAGAGAAAGCCTATCCACTGTCCTTATTCATCTCCATATATTTGTAGATGCACAGGGTGAGGTAGGCAAATAGATATTTTTGTTATGTAAATTGGGTTCTTATAAATCAAAAGTTAGATTATTCAACTTTGAAAGGCAGGATAGCTTTAAAAACTAAAAATGAATAGCTGATGTAATCTAATGAATATTATAAATATTTTTGCTCTAATCGTATTATTTTCACACTGTAAACCAAACTTTGAGATTATTTTTATTATTTACATATTTATGGGTGAGTTGTCTATGAAGACAGGTTGTTCTGATTCGACAACTGAAGGAATCTTTCTAAAGTTTTATAGAACTTTAAACTTTCTTAGTATCCTTCAATAACTCACAGTTGCCTAAAAGATAAAATTAAAACTGCTTAGTATGACAAAAAATCTTTAAATTCTAAATACCTTGGCACTGTATATATTTCCAGCTTACTTCTCTACCACTTCCTATTCAGGTAAAATGACTTTCAATGTGGCTTGAATGTGCCTGTGTTCTAACCTGTATGTTTTCACATGGGTGCTTCCTTCTTCCTGTAACAAGCTTTTCTTCTTGTCTTGTTGGTCACCCTTAAATATTCTGTTCAAAGGCCACTCCCTTCTCTGTGACCAGGGAGGTTATGTGTTCTCTCCTCTGGTCTCCTATATATTTCCTGTACACACTTCTTTCGTAGCACATACAGCATGTATAATACACAGCATATGTAACATTATATTAAAACTGTTTCTATATATGTGCTTCTCTTCTGAAAGATGTGAGTTCTTTGAGTACAAGAACTGTACTTGTTCATCTTGGGTTATCTGGTATCTAGCTTAATTTTCAACTAGCTCTTCCTTTAAAAAAAATTATTAATGACCCTGGCTGGTGTGGCTCAGTGGATTGAACGCCAGCCTGCAAACCAAAGGATCATTGGTTCGATTCCCAGTTGGGGCACATGCCTGGGTGTGGAAGAAGCAACCACACATTGATGTTTCTCTACCTCCCTCCCCCTCTGTCAAAAAATAAATAAAACATTAAAAAAATTATTAATGTATAGTTGGCATACAACATTGTATTACTTTCAGGTGTACAACATATTGGGACTGGCTGTTCCTTTTTCCTCAATTAGAAGACTATTAATAGGCTGAATCTGCCTGCTTCATATTAAGTAAAAGCGGTGGCACAATTCCAGTTCCCTATATGGGAAGCCAAGTAAAATATGGGTCACATTAGTGAGGCAATGTAAAAAACAGATTTAGAGTAATCCACTAGGATATTAAAACTCCATATATTGTGTTCAACTGGTTCAGGTGGGAGTGCTGGCTATCAGCAAATTCTGACATATAGCTCTTACATCATAAATCATGCAATGGGATGTATTGGCCTACATCCTAAGTGACATGTAAAAGGACCATTTAATTTATCTCTCTCTTTCATTATTATAGGTTGGGATATTACCCACAGCAGTGTCTAATTTCTTTATGAATCAAAGATTATCCTTCAGTTTCAAAATCAGCAAAGTGAAGGCTTTTTATTTTAATGATCTTTGAATCTTAACTCCTTAGGAAACTTAAAGACAAATTCGTTGTTCCTCTAGCAGTAGAACAGAGTGGTGCAGGATAGATTTTATTTATTAAATTTACCTTAACTTTATTCTTTCTCTGCATCTATGTTTCCTTGAACTCACTTTCCTCAAATATTTATCATACATTTTTCTTTAACACATATTTTTATCAGCTAACAGAATTCCTTTGTGGCTCGAGGTATATATAAATTATGGTAGGAAAAGAGATAACAAATATTTATTAATGTATAAAAACATACAAGTGTAACAAGTATGAACTAAAATAGTAGAAAGAAAATTTTCATCAATATGTTTAATCAAACTTACAGCTCGTCTAGTTTGTGGAGGGGTGCAAAAGTATTTTCCTTTAGGTGATTAATTTTGTTTTTTCTCATTACCCTGAAAGTAAAAGGAAACATACATTGTAGCTTCTTGAGATAAATGAGTTATCAGAGCGGAGATTAACACCCTGCAAAAACAAAATCTTAAATTATATAAAAATCCTAAATTTCCAAATCTTTTAATAATGATAACAATAAAACATGAAAATTTTAAAGTGAAATAGGGAAGAGCTTTGCAAGGGAAATAGTAAAAATCTCAAGTCTTGAGAATGGACTAAATATCATACAACCTGGAGCCTAGGGAGCTTCTTCAGTAGATGTAGCATGTCTGCCTAACAAAATACCCACCAGATGATATCGCTCATACACATTGGGTAGTTGATGTAATTTAGGGTGTAGTTATCTAAGGAAGTCTAATCTAAGCTGGACTAAGTTAGATCTCTTTTTTGGAATATGGAATGACTGTAACTCTTGACAGTTCATTTCAGGACAAATCTCATGTGTATGAGCTAACCATAAAGGACTAACTCATAGACGAGTCAAAGGATTTCCAATTCTTTAAACATTGTGTGACATGTTTGGAAATTGGCCTTGTCCCATCCTTAAGCATTTATTTTCTCCCAGTATTCGAAACCATTGCCACCTCCTCCCAATATCTCTGGACCCAAAAAACACAACACTTGCCAAGGGGAAACTCATAAATAATTTCTTCATGCAGGGGTTTCTTTAAAAGCAAACACAAATAGAATGAAAAAGAAGTTCTACGCTTTTTTAATGTATATTTGGCGTATACTCTTTAGGTGAATTTGGTTTCCTTTGGGCAATAAATATGAACTATTTTGCATGATCGACATAGAACATCCTGCCTCTGAAGGCTGTTGAACTCACTGTAGAAGAGGTCAAATACTTCAGAGGCTTGAATCGATTGTAATTGGAGGTATAATTGGAGAAAAATTATTCCTGTTTTTATATTACAGGGGTCCTATGTATTCTTGTATGATGGTTTTCAAACTTTTCTATGGTAATCTATAGTAAAATAAATGCATTTTACATAGGGACATAAAATACAACCAAATAATCCACGATTATTGAAACAATACATTTAATGATCTGAATTGCACTCTGATATTTTTATTCATTCAACTTTATTTAAAAAAATTATGATAAGGACATACTACATTGTTTTCATCACTCACTGTGAATTGCAACCGACAGTGTGAAAAACCACTGTCCTGGAAAAATAAACTGAAAATTAGGCAGCTATATTTTTATAATAAAGGAATCTCCAGAATCCTTCACTTTCCTAGAAGAGGAATGTGATTTTAAAATAGGTCAGAAGGGCAAAAGGGTAAATTATACTCTATAACATTCTAAGCTTGTCCTGGTTCACAATTATAGACCCTGGGATGTGAACATTCTGCAGTGGTTTTTAAAAATTTTGATTGTAATTAATTTTGTGCCCACAATCTTTACAGTAGTAATTTATAAAGAGCAGATATTCTTATAGATTAAGACTTAAAGTTACTGTTTCTCAAAGCGAGGTCCAAGGACAGATTCTAGGTAGTCTTTGAGAATGTCTTTACATTACAATGGGTATTACTTAAGTTTGAGAAAAACAGACCTCAGCTAATATAGTGCCTTTGTGATGATTTATGTATATGGCGACTCTGTGGTTACTCTTAATTTGAACGTTAGTAACTTGCCCACGTGCTTCAGTTTAAGAAAACTTCAAGTTGAGAGCAAATATTTGCCATAATTACCAGGCATGTTTATGCTAGCTTCTGTTCACGTAAGTGATTCATTTTATTTGTAAAGAGATATAATATTACTTGAAAAGGATAAAACATTACTTACAAGACAGTTAAACTACTGCAGGAAATAAAAGTCACATTTTTTAAATTGTGGATATGGTTGCCTTCAAAGTCCCTGAAATATAAAAATAAAAGATAGTCAAGCTAACTTTTAATCATAGACAGAAATAAATTGGTTGAGAATTATTTGCTTTCTAATAAAATCTTTTTTCATGTGCTGTTTATTTTATATAGATTCTTACATGTACCCACTTACATAATAGTTGAAATTATATTTATATATATTTAATGTTTCTTTTTCTGTAATAGTAACAATGGTTTGAGTCCCCACATCTGTGTCATGTGTTCATGTAGGCATGTATATTATCCTGAGAAATGTGAAAAGAAGAAATCAAATTGCAAAATTTTTGTTATGGTGAACACTATTAACAGAGATTTAATAGTGGACTGTATTAACCATCTGTCCAGAGTTATCAATGACATTTTTCTAAGTGGTGTGACCCTATTTTACTGCAGCCTGCAGAAGCTTCTACTGCCAAAACAATATTTACTTCCTGCCTTGTCTAAACACTCCGCAGAAAAAATTCTCAATAGCCTTTACTGCTGTCAATAACTTTGTTTTCTTTATTGTATCACCACACAGGCCAGTGTAGGGGAGAACCCAAAGGCTGTCCTTGGTCATCCACCCCCAGTTCAAGGAGCTTTATATGCCAGGGGGCCCCCCAAACCCAGAATTTACTTGTAAAAAGTGTGTATTTATTCTTACATGTTTAAACTTCAGTTACCTTCAAAGTGCTCACCACTTTATGCAATGCACTTATCAAAATGTTTTTTCCACTGCTCAAAACAGTTTTTGAACTCGTTAATTTGGATACCTTTAATGCTTCTGCCATTTTGTGTTTCACCTCTTCCACACTGGCAAAACATTTTCCTTTGAAGACTTTTTTCATCAGGGGGTGGAGGGGGGGAAGTTCCTTGAGGCATGAGCAAGTAAATAGGGAGGGTGCGGCACAGGGACTATGCTTTTTTTTGTGGGGGGGGTGTCAAAAACTACTGCATGGTGTGGGCAGGTGTGGTTGCAAATTGCCCATCGTGAAATGGGCAAACATGTTGGAAGAATCTTAAAAAACAATTCCCTGCAGCCAAATGCAGCCTCTCACAGCAATGCCAGCTGGTACACCGATACAGATGAGTCCCTAGAATGCATACCTAGTGAGAGAAGCCTGCACTGCAAGAGGCCTGCCCTCCAGAACATAATTCTGATTTTTTTTGGTCCCCCCTGGTAGACCGTACTTGAACTCTCCTGCTATGTGACTGTCACCAACAGGAGTCTGATCTGAGCAGAAAAATTTGTCAAAACATTTAGACTTTATCATTCTCTTCTGGTTAACATGAAGGTATTCTTTTATTGCCCCTCTTTTATTGTTAGTTTATGGTGAAAGTTTTAGAACAGAGTTAGCTGAGGTTAGGCATATACTTTCAAAAGTAAATGCTGGCCTTTAAATCTACTGTGTGTAACAACACTTAGTCTACTGGTCACCATATAACAGAACTGTGGGAATAATTGTGACTCAAATATATGAGCTCAAGTGTGACACATCTACTAGAATCTGTAAGGTAAATACAGGGAGAGAGGGAGCATTGATAGCAGGGCTGGCACTCTGCTGATTAGGCTACATCTGAGACAGGTTTATTCTGGGCACTGCAATGAAAAACAGACATTGACAAATCAAAGTATTTCTGGAAGATCTGGATGTAAGGGGTTTAGAAATCCAGTGAATTGGAGAGAGGGGTGTATTTACAGCAGAGAGGAGCAAAACAAGAGAGATATATTTGAAGTCAGGCAGTAGAATACATCATAGAGCTTTTCTATGGTGCATTAGGTTGCAAAATTAGATTTACTTGTTAAAGGGCACAGAACATTTTAAATTTAAGCTCACAACCTATGGTTCAAAGAAGTTGTTTCTTGTCACTATAGATATTTAACAGAGACAATATACCATAACTCAAGGATTTTGTAGAAAGGATTTCTATGCTATGTGGAATATTGTATTAAAATCTTAAATCTTGATTCTAGAGCACTTTTTTAAATAAAAATTTTGATTATTCTATTAAATTGGCAACTAAGCTCTTAACTGTTTTCAGTGATTAGGTTTGGCCAAGGCTTGTGACCTCTTGTATGTCAATGACAGAGACCATCTGCCTCCTTTTCCTATTTTATTGCTGTTGCCATGAATCCACCACCAGGCGGTGATGTTCTCTTAAACCTCACAAAATATCCCTAGGTAATCTTTCCTTGCTAGCTCTTCATGAAATTTTTTTTTTTCCCTATTAAGCTAGTGTTTATATTTGTTAGTATTATATTTATTAATTTGAAAAATCAGTAGAGGATACACATAAAGGCATAAACTAGGGACTTTTGATTACATTGTTAATTTTATTTAATTTTATTTTAACCTTGAATTGTAAGTTTGCTCTGGCTTTCTTCCTAAAATTAGAGGCGTTAGTCATTGATGTGCAGGGATCTGATTTGCAGCATGCCTATTAGCTGAGGCATACAAATCTGCTTCTTGCTTCCCAGCTTCCAGCTCTTAGGGAACTGAAAAAGGTGTTTGTTTGTTTGGTTTTATTTATTTATTTATTTATTCTTTTTTTTTTTTTTTTTTTTTACTTCACGTCTATATCACTTTTCCAACTTGATGAGCCTCTGAATCTAACCACTTAATTTTTCTGTTTACACATGGCAGAGCTTGCCAAAAATAAAAATTTGGTTCTTTAATTTGTAGAATGATAATAACAAAACAAAACTACCCATATCTTGCCTGTTCCTTTTCAACTTTCTCTCTTATTCCCTAGTGGCATTCTAATCATGCAAACCTCCTTAACCTCCATTTCCTCCCCACCTTTTAAACATTTCTGGCTCCTATTTCACAGAAAAAATTGAGGTGATCAAGAGGGGAAAAGCTCTTGATTTTCTGCCCAGCATCTATAGACTTACCTGTAAGTGTGCCTGGTTTCCTTCTAGTCTCAGATGACCCTTCTCCTGCTTTAGGCTAATCCCTCCATCTGTTTCCTTGAGTTTGGTTTGTGTATGTATATGTCCTAAAATATATGGTCAATTTTGGTGAATGTTCTTTGGGTATTCTTAGTTTGCAGTTTTATCTCTATTAGGGTTAGGTGCAGATACATTTAACAAAGACCCAACTAGAACAGCATAACTATGTAAGGAATTAGTTTTTTCAAGAAAAAAAAGTCTAGAATTAGGCAGTCCAGGGCTAGTATGCTAAGTTTTACAAAGTTGTTAGAAGCTCAGGTCTTTCACATTCACTGTTCACATGTCCTAGACTTCATGGGCCAGGATCATGCTAAAGCTCAGCCACAATATCCATTCGTTTTGGATAAGGAAGGAAAAGAAGTGTCTGCCTTTTTTCTCTGAGGAGATTTCCCAGAAGTACCACTCTGTACATCTTCAACCTCATTAGTTAGAGCTCAGTCATATGGCTAGGTCTGGATGTAGGGAAGTTTCGGAAGGTAGCGTTTTAGCTGTGCATGTTGCTGTACCAAGTAAACCAGTTCTGCTACCGAGAAGGGATGTTACAGTTTGATATACATCATTTAGGGTTAACTTATTAAATATGTTATTTAGTAGTTCTCCATATTCTTTTATGGTTTTACTTGGACTATTATCTCTTACTGCTCACATAGTTATATTTTTCCTTTTGTTTTGGTTGTTATGTGAATCTATTTGGGGCATATATACTCATAATGTATTATCTTTCATTACATTGTAATATTGGAAATTGAAAACTATTACATTTAAATATCCTTCTTAGTATAGCATAATGCAAATTGGCCAGAATTCTACTTAGATTAAAAAGATATGATGCCTGCTTTTTTTGGGGTTGCATCTACATGCATACTTTTGATCAGGTTCTTGTTTTAAATATTTCTTAATCACTTAGTTATACTTGTACTTTTTTTTTGTAAATAGTACTGAGTTGGGTTTTGTTTTAAAAGTCAATTAAAAAATCATTTTTTCTTTCAATAGTTTAAGTTTAGCCCACCTATGTTTATTGATGTCTAATATATCTGCTCTCAGTATGCTATTTGAAAACACATGGTTTTACAGATTAAAAACATTCAACAAATGGTTTGATTTAAAAAAATTTCTTCTAATATTAGAAAGATTTGCATACTCTGCTGATTACCATAATAATTAAAACTTTACCCAATACAGTATGTTTTCTCATTCTTAGAGAATAACAATACTTACTAATTTCCTATTATAAAAATGAAATTAATATATACTATCTTCCTTAATGTTCTTCTACCTCTCTTCCACCATATGATTTATATCGATTATATGCTTCTGATTAATGTTCATCTTAGAAATGTCAAATATCCACATATTGGTAACTTGTTGGTTTTAAATGACATATATTGACACTTAGGTATTTTTCTTTATAGTTATATGGTTTTCATTTTGAAACTGCTTACTCATTTAAGATTATTATATCTTCTTGCTGAATTGATCCTTTTATCATCATGTGATATCCCTCTTTATTCCAGGTGATAGTCCTTGTTCTAAGTCTATTTTTTCCAATATTAGCCTAGTTCTTTCAGCTTTAAAAAAACATTAGTGTGGCATTTCTTATCCTTGTTTTACAATATGTAATATCTCAATTTTCTCATGGTTGCCTTAAGTTTTTTTTTTTTTTTTTTGTAACTTTGACTTTCAGCATCTTGACTATAATTAATCTAGGTTTTTTTTTTACTTCTGCTTGGGTGTTCCTGAGTTCTTAGATTTCTGGCTTGTCATATTAATTTTGGAAAATTTTTGGCCATTATTTCCTCAGATATTTCTTCTATTCTCCCTCTCTTTTTTTGTGTGTGACTTTACACACTTGTCAGGAAATTTAATAGCATCCTGCAACTTTTGGATTCTCTGGTCCATCTTTATTTTACTCTCTTTCCTCTTTTATATTCAAATTGAAAATTTTCTGTTGACCCATCTACAAGGTCCTGGATTCTTTCCTCAGTTGTATTGAGTCTACAGCTAAGCCTGCAGAAGTAATCACTTGATTCTCTTCAATAGCTTCCATCTCTTTGCAGACGTGTCCCAGGTGTTCATGCATATCGTCCACCTTTTTCACTCTATCATTTAACCATTAGTTATAAATATTTCAATTTTCCTGTGTGGAGGCTGTGACATCTGAGTTATCTCTGAGTCTGGTTCTGTTGATTGCCATATAATTTGACAACGGATTTCTTTCTTGTCCTTTTAGGTATTGGGCTGTCTCAGCATTGCTGTTTCCCTGCCCCTGAAGTCCCAATGCCAGTGAGCACTGCCCACAGCTCTGCAGCAGCACAGCTCCTGGCTGTAGGGGGTTTCCTGCCCCTTCCTTGGGGCGGGGTGCTTTTGGTTCTACCTCTCCTTAGGAAGCCGTGGATCTGTGCCTGGTCCCTGACGGCAGGAGGATTCTCTGTCCCTCTCCCAGTGGCTTACAGCTTTTACTTCATAAATGGAAAGTCTAAAGAGGAAGATGAGGTTCTGTCCGGTGTGCCACGAAGGAGGACTCTCTTTGGTTTCTTTACCGCCTCCCAGTTTTCTTCGTGAGCTCGTGGAGGCCAGTGGAAAACAGCTTGTTGGAAATAGCTGACTTTCCTGAGTGTGGAGTTCACAATTATTCAAAAATGTTATACTAGCCCACATAGCCTTTATAAGTGTATTAAAATTTTAGCAGCTTTCTTTGTATGTGCCCTTTCTTTGTATGTGACGACAGCCAACTCTTCACTCTGTGCTCTGCCGAAGGTGAGACATTATACATATGCTATCTCTCCCGGTCACTCCATGGAACACTGATGGACTTGAGAAAATTATGATTTTGTAGACTGTAAAGTTCTTTTTCATTGGTAGAGAGGGAGCAATACTGTTTTGTGGGTTTCTATAGCCTAAGCACAGTATCGTTAGGGATTGTAATATAATACGTGTATTACATATATAGAAGATACATACAGGGTGGGCAAAAGTAGGTTTACAGTTGTGAGTATGTGAAATTCAGAGTTTATTCTTGTATTATTATTTATTAATTATTGCATTATTTATTTGTCTGTAAACCTACTTTTGCCAACCCTGCATGTTTTCTTTGTACTGTAATTCAATTATGTTCTTCAAATTGAACCATGTTGATTGAAAGTCTAGCTCATTCACTTTCACTACTTTGTGTGTGTCATTTATTTTTCCATGTCTTCCCAGTACCTTGCTCCATTTATTGCTCCTGTTTTCTATATTTTCAAATTTTTTAATTGATTGATTGATTTTAAAGAGAGTGAGGAAGGGAGAGAGGGAGAGAGAGGGAGAGAGAGAGATTGAGTAGTTGTTCCACTTATTTATGCACTCATTGGTTCTCGTATGTAACCTGTCTAGGGATCAGACCTGCAACTTTGGCATAATGGGATGATGCTCAAATCAACTCAGCTATGCAGCCAGGGCCTCAAAATCTTTATATTAGCTTCTTCTACCCATATATAAACCTGCTTAGTCTTATCTCAGGTTAAAAGTTTACTTTATTCTCTTGATCTTCATGTTTACCTTTGGCTATTGCCAATCTGTTCTTATGGTTATTTACTATTTGTTTCTTCCTTTTAAAATTTTTCTTTTTTACTGCAGTTTTTACAGTTTTAAAAATTGCTTTGAAGGAAATATATTAAAGGTTTTAATATGTTTTCTGTCATATATTTTGCAAGCACATTATCCTGGGCTATCATATTTTTTTTTTTCTGATTACATGGTCAAACTAGTTTTTATTATATTTATGGCTTAAAAAAGTTAGGACTTAACACTTGTGACTATAACGGTACACTTAATAATCAGAGCAATAAGATGCAAGAAGTGACAGTTAAGAGGTTGTCTTCTCTTGATAACAGTTAAATGTGGTATTCACCCAAGATTTACAAGTATATGTTGAGATAAAATTACATTTTATTCCAAACTTTTGCTAACTTTCCTACTACAAATAGGAAATACACCACTTTCCCAATCCTCAGGAAACGTTTTATTGGAATTTATTCCATTGACTTAGAAAGTTTATTTTTTTTATTTTTTTTTTAGAATATTGCAACACCTATATTTCTTTTTCTTTTTCTTTTCTTTTTAAATTTATTTTTTTAAATTTATTTACTTTTTAAATACATTTGTCTCTGCCTCCCCCCCACCTCTTTCCCTTGCCCCCTCCCACCTTCCCTCCCTCAGCTCTTCCCCTTTGGTTTTGTCCATGAGTCCTTGCTATATGTTCCTTGACTTTCCCCTTCCCTTCCCTTTACCTGCGTCCCCCCTTCCCTCTTGTCTCTGTTGATTTCTTTTCCTTTCAAAAATATGGAACGCTTCATGAATTTGCGTGTCATCCTTGCGCAGGGGCCATGCTAATCTTCTCTGTATCGTTCCAATTTTAGTATATGTGCTGCCGAAGCGAGCACCATATTTTTAATTTTATATGTATTTTTCTCCTAAATCAGAGTTAATTTTTTTCCAATACATCTATCAGATTTTCTAGTTAATGTTTGCTAAATTGAAGTTCATGGACAAGATAAAGATATTGTAATTAATTTTCAAAGAAATAAATACCTATAAAGCAACAATTATTACTAGCATTAAAACTGGAATAACAGTTATTATTAGGATTGCATATGGAATGAGTTGTTTTGAATAGCTAAAGCTTAAAGATGGTAATTGTAGTAATATAACTTTTAAAAATCTATTTCTTTAGTACTAAATCTTAATCATTTTTATTTTTATATGAAATGTATATATGGCTGCCTTTTTAAAAGCAAAGGGAAGGTTTATTATTATATGTTCCTAATATCTCCCACATTTGCTTATGGCCTCAATGCATGAATTTTAACTGCTAATTTACTTATGTAAATATTAATCAATTTTTCTTTATGACTAAATTTGGATTACTGAGCATGAATAACTTAATGTATTCATCAGAATCAAAATGTAATTACATCAAAGGGTGTTCAACTTAATTTGCTGTTTCCTTAATGACTTTAACTTGCCATCAGTGAGAATACTGTGACAATATCAAGATGCTCTCTGGACTAAATAATGATTTCTGGGATGTGTGTCTTCCCCTCAATAGTTCCAACCTAGTATGTTTTAAATTACTATGTCTGATTTTTATAGCATTTTTCACTCCTGCTTTATTATCAGGTTGATAGTTGCCACTTCTTACAAAAATCAATGTTTCTTACTCTAACTTACCCCACTACTTTTAACTGGCATTTTTAATCTATAGCGGGCTTAAAATTTTGAGAATTTCCTACACAATAAGACACAGAGGGAATTTCCATAATGACAGTGTATATGCTTCTTATTGATTGACATTTTTAACAGTTATTTAGGTTATTTATTTCTTCATTTACCTGTTTTTTAAATAGGCAAATTTACAGGGTGATTTAGTTCTGAATATGTGGAGTGATACTTATCACCATAAGCCAAGCTATTCTGTAACAAATTCCATGGAACATACATATTCTATTGCGATTAGACTTCAGAAATAAATTGTAAGTATCATATTCTCATTATGCAGAACTTAGGAACTTCAGTATTTTCATACCAAATTAATGGGTAAATAGGTCAAAAGGCAGAGGGGGAGATATATAGCTACCATGACTTCCCTTCTCTCTTCTTTTTGTTTCCAAGTTGGGTTTTTTTTTTTTCGAGATGTTTTATTTTGGTGGGAGTAGAAGAGTGAGTTTAGATAATGGGGACACTTAATAGCAAAATCGTGCTCAAGTAATTTGAGAAAACATGATAGAATATTAACGACATATCACTTTATGAAACCTAATATCGAAGGTGAACTGGGCAAAACTAGAAAAGTTAGTTGACTTCTATAAGAAAAGATACAGCAACTTACAGCCAACTGAGCCTTGGCATGTGCTGACAAAGAGGTTTGTCAGGCAAATGGGTGAGGACATTATTCATCAGCTCCCTGAAAAAGAAAAGAAATTTAAAAAGTCACATTTTCCTAGTTCTTTTTTTAACCTAAGCCAAACATGGTATTATCATTATTCTTATGAAATAATAGAAATCTCTTAAGTTAATTATCTTCTCTAATTCTTTCCTGTGTGGTATTTAAGTGCTTATTAGTGATAAAATTTGACAAGTATCTGTCATATGGAGGAAGTAGTAATGTTAGTAACTGAACCTGTGCCTTTTTCAGTGGGTAGTGAAAAGCAGGTGATTTTACATGAGTGACATTTTTCTTTAAAAAAGATTTATATAGGATAGTAAAGGTGTGCTTAATAATATTTTAATAAAATATCACCATGAGGCTTTATTCATCTTTGATGGGCTGACATTGTAGAAGACAGAAGAGCTTATAAAAATTGTTAGAACTACAAAATAGACCCATAAACTATAATTAATAAATGGTTTTTAGTTGAAAAGTCTTTGTGTTTTAACAATTCCAAATTTAATGCTGTTAAACATAAAGCAGTAATTTTTATTTATGTCTTTTCTTTTAATTAAAATATTTGCTTTAATTTTAGTACTTACAAGAGCGTAAGAGAATTTAGTCCATAAAATGTTAGTGGGGAAACTCGACTGAGGTGATTATCTTCAATTATCCTGCCAGCCAGAAGAAAAAAATTGATTCACTTATATATATTTAGAACATTAAAAACTAATACTATAAAATGCCCAGTAAATTAAACATACAGCCATTCTAGTTTGTGGAGATCTTCAAAAACACCTGGCTTCAAGAAGGTTATTCTGTTATGACTAAGATACCTGAAAAAGGAGAAATGACTACAATAAATCGAATGTTTCTGATATCTTACAATAAGGGAATGAAAAACAGCAATCACCCACTTTAAACTTTCTTATACACTTTCCATCTTGCTATTTTTCTGCCTTTGGATCCCTAAAAGTTCTTTATCATTTATGTTGTTAGGTCTAGTTTTTAATTCTCTCGTAATCAGCCAATAAACCAATCAGTCACATAGTCATTCATCTGTTCATTTACTCATCAGATTGTTTTGAGCACGTACTCTATGGCAGTATGCTAGGTATACCATTTCTTTATTTGAAGGGCTTTGAGTCTAGAGGCAAGATAGCACATAAACAGGTTGTTACAGGAAATGGAAAAAAGAGAGAAATGTACAATGTATGGTTGCCCTGCCATTGCAGAGGAGAAAGCATCTGGCTTTGCTGGGGTGGGGACTGCAGAGCAGAAGGAGCAAGGAAACAGGAAGTCTTTACTAAAGGAGGAACAAGAGAGAAGAATCTTGGATGAAGACATGTCATTCACAAAGCAAAGAATGGGTACGAGTTATTCTGGGTAGAGGAGATCGAGAGTGACAAGGGATCACCAGGTAATTCAGGGTGGCCTTGCCATGGGCCTGTGAGAAGACAAGAGATGAACACAGGAGGCAGGAAGGGGCTTCTGTTTTGGATAAAAGGACATTGTATGCTCTGCTAAGGCGTTCGACCCATCTTACCTACCCAATTGCTCACTATTTTACAGAGTAAACTCCCTTTCTTCTATGTTGATCTTCTCCTCTTGCCATGTTTGTTTCTAGCTCAATCTCTCTAATGCAGCAATTTGGTGCTCTGAATCTGCTGCCAAACGGTTGGATTCCTAGCTTTGTTTCTTATTTATAGCGTGACCATAAGCAAGCAACTAACTTCAGAAAGGCTCCGTTTCTCCAACTCCAAAATGGAGATACTATTAGTACCCACTTCTTTGGTTGTTGCAACATTTGAGGCAATGCATGTCATCGGCACTGGCAAGTCAAATACTGAGTACGTATTATTTATTATTGTACAATACAACAATGTTTCAGTTCATGCCTCCTACTTCATTTTCTTTCCTCTTCTTTTTCCTCTTTGCCTATGATTCACATATAAGTATTCAAATTTCACTTCCACTAATACTTGGGCCCCACTGATTTCTCTCTTTTCTACACTCTGGCAGATATTAAGTTGACATCCTATAAAAGTTTCTCCTGTCAGCAACCTCCCCTTCTCCAGCCAAGTTTGATTTTCCTTAGGGATAGTAAGGGATAATGTCTCATATTAGAACCACTTCCTTCCCTCCTCTGCAAACCTGGAGCCTCAGGTGGGCACAAGAAGAGGTAAAAAAAATAGCTTCCACAGCTCCCTGGAATACCTCAGGCGGCTCCCTTAAGAACCAATGGAGATCTATCAGGTAAAGACATTTGATCTGCCCATGCACTTGTTTAGCCATTTAGCCCCGTCATCTTGAGAGCCATTCTTCACTGCTCTGAACCCAGAATGGTCACTCTTTTCACTGAATCCTAATAGAAGTTCAGGTCTGACCAACACAGGTTTAGGACTTCATTAAGTAACTGCTTTTATCACTCTCTATTTTTGGGTATATGCTGGTATTGTTTGCCCGCCCAAGACTATAAGCTTCTAGAGAGCAAGAGGTATGCCTCTCCCCAGTGAGTATAATGCTTTAGCTGAACACAGATGTGCAAGCTGCTGGAAGGAAGCTTGTCTGACTTACATTTCTATGCCCCCTTCCTTGCTGTCTAGCTGAAGAACTTGTACACCATAAGGGCTGATGAATATTTATGAATGAATGAAAAGCAGGTATCTAATGAGTACATAGGAAACACTAGAGTCTGTGACATCTTTAGTACTCAAACAATATTCCAGTTCTATGAAAAACCACCATGGAAAGAGATGGAGAGTAAACTAACTTACTCTCCAAGTCTCTATCTCACATTCATGGAATATTTAACCAAGCAGATGCTGTTTAGTAGGTTTTGAACAGTCATAGCAGGGTTGGAGAGAAAGACAGTGATGAACCTTATGAGAATGAGTCCAACATTGACTATGGCTAATTTGGTAAGATACGGAAGAGCAGGGATGATGTAGAAGGGAAGAGAACATGGCTCACGTGATTACTGTTAGTGCTTTGAGTCTCCAGTGGCTTCTTTCACTTTGCTTGTAAAATGATGAGGTGGACTTCAGTCCCAAACTCTGATAACTCAAGTTAGGAACCTGACTGGAAATAGTTTCTTGGGTTTTGACAGAAAGCGAGGGGACAGGAATGGAAATACAGGGAGTTGTCTGTTCATGTAGGATGTTAGGTTCAGCTGCTGGGTAAAACTCAATGACATGGAACTTTGAGAAAGCCTATTTTTAAAAGCTGTGCTCTTAACTGTGAGATAACAATTCACACCCATTAGGACAGTGGTTATGGAAAAACCAACCCAAACACTAACAACAACCCAGAAAAAAACAAGATGATGAAGAACTGGAGGAATTGAAACTTGAGTTTTGCTGGTGGGAATGTCAAATGATGCAGATGCTCTGCAAAATAGTATGGAAGTCCCACTTCTGGGTATATATGCAAAAGAACTGAAAGCTACAACTCGAACAGACATTTGTGTACCCATGTCCACAGCAGCGTTATTCACAATAGACAAAAAAGGTAGGAACAACCCAAATGTCTATTGATGGGTGAATGGACGGTGGTGATAGTTGCAGAACAATGTGGATATACTTAATATCATTGAACTGTACACTTAAAATGGTAAAAATGGTAAATTTTATGTTAATATATTTATCACAATTTAAATAAAGCTTTATTCTTTTAAACTTACAGTGCTTTATATATTCATAAAAGCAGGATTAATAGAAAAATAATAATTGGGGGAGCTTTTGGGTTTTCTTCTTCATATATTTTAATTATCATCAGGCTTTCGTATTTTGATTAATTTCATTCAATCATTATTCCTGTCACCATGATGTTATGTAATAATAGTTTTTATTATGTGCCAGACACAGTGTGCCTACTTCTTCCTACTACAAGTACATTTTCTTGTTTGGTCCTCACAACAACCCTGAGGTAAGTAAGTACAGTTATAATTTGTATTTTACAGTAGAGAGACCTGATACCTAGAAAGGAAAATAAATTGCTCAAGTTCACACACCTAAGCAATGAGGTCAGGACTTGAAAGCCTGTGGGACTCATCATCCTATGTTCTTAGTCACAGTATCGTGTGCCCCTCCAGCTCTTTGCACACCCCTTAGGCACTGTAGTGGGCAGGAGGGCTGGTATGCAGTGGAAGGGGTCAGACTGACAGACAAGTGTGGAGTCGACAAGTTAATTGGTACTTACAGTTTAGTAAGACTGTACAGTCCTCTGAAAGAATAGATGGATATGGATCTAATCTTATTGTTTTGTAGGCACCTGTGAAAATGATTATTGAAAGGAAAATATAATGAAACAGTCTTTCAGTTTTGCACGATGGAAAGAGTTCTGTGGCTGGATAGTGGTGATGGTAACACAATGATGTGAATGTACTTAATGCCTCTGAATGTACCCTTAAAAATGGTTCAGATGGTACATTTAGGTCACATGTATTCGGCCACAATTAAAATTATTTTTAAAGATTTTTATTCATTTATTTTTAGAGAGGGGAAGGGAGGGAGAAAGAGAGGGAAATATCAATGTGTGGTTGCCTCTTGAGCACCCCCTACTGGGGACCTGGACTGTAATCCAGGCAAGTGCTGTGACTGGGAATTGAACCAGCAACTCTCTGGTTCACAGGCCAGCACTCAATCCACTGAGTCACACCAGCCATGGTAAAGTTTTTAAAAAATTCTTTAAAAAAAGTTTTTATTGTTCAAATACATTTGTCTCCATTGTCCCACCAACACTTTCCCCTTCCCCACCCACTCCCACCTTTCCCCCTCAATCCTTCCCGACTTTGGCTTTGTCCATGGGTCCTTTATACATGTTCCTTGACTTGACCTTCCTCTTCTCTTCCCCGTTACCCTTCTCCCTCCTCCCCTTTCATTACTGTTGGTTTGTTTTTTCTTTCAATGTTGCAGCTTATATTTTTCTTGCTTGTTTCTTTTGTTGATTAGATTCCACTTATAGGTGAGATCATATGATATTTGTCTTTCACTCTCTGGCTTATTTTGCTTAGCATAATACTCTCCAGTTCCACCCATGCTGTCGCGAAGGGTAGTAGCTCTTTCTTTCTGCTGCATAGGATTCCATTGTGTAGTTTTTCGATCCACTCATTTATTGATGGGCACTTAGGTTGCTTCCAGCTCTTGACTATTGTAAATTGTGTTGTTATGAACATTGGGGTGCACAGGCTCTTTTGAATTGGTGTTTCAGGATTCTTAGGGTATATTCCGAGCAGTGGAATTGCTGGGTCAAAAGGCAGTTCCATTTTTAGCTTTTTGAGGACATTCGAAACTGTTCTCCACAGTGGTTGCACCAGTCTGCATTCCCACCAACAGTGTATAGGGTTCCCTTTTCTCCACAACCTCACCAGCACTTGTTGTTTGTTGATTTGTTTATAATGGCCATTCTGACTGGTGTGAAGAGGTATCTCATTGTGGTTTTAATTTGCATTCTCTGATGGCCAGTGATGCTGAGCATCCTTTCATATGTCTCTGGGCTTGTGTATGTCCTCCCTGGAGAAGTGTCTGCTCAGGTTCTTGGCCCATTTTTAAATTGGATTGTTTGTCTTCATGGAGTGGAGCTATGTGAGTTCTTTATATATTTTGGAGATCAAACCCTTGTCTGAAGTATCATTGGCAAATATATTTCCCTGTACTCTTGGTTCCCTTTTCATTTTGCTGATGTTTTCTTTAGCCGTGCAGAAGCTTCTTATTTTGATGAAGTCCCATTTGTTTATTCTTTCCTTTATGTCCCTTGCTCTAGGGGACATTAAATAGGTAAACATAATGAAATGATTTTGAGAAGCTGGATATCTTGTAACTTTGTTTTGCTATTAAATTCATGCGTGATTAGCCTAGTTTTTATTTAGAAATGCTAATTTTAAAGGTAAACAGGTAATAGCTAAAATTTACTATTTGAATTTCCTGTGAATGAAACTTAGTGTACAGTAAGGCACTCACTAAAAAGACAGGCCCAGAAGTCATACTATTTTTTTTTTTTAGCATTTTCTGCTAGAATTCTTCAAACATGTTGACGTTAGACACAGTGTTTGCAAAAACACAAGTATGTGACATTGTTACGGCCGCCAAATATATTTCATGTTAATCACAAATCTGCCAAGCAAGTCAGCTTTAATTTTGTTAATTTGACACCCAAAGTCTTGCTCCCCAAAATTGTTGGAGGAACTTATACACATGACAAAGAGACAATAATCAGGACTAGAAGAATATAAATTAGTAGGACTATCAAGACAAGAATGCAGGCTTACATAGTTAACTAAAGTCACACTGCAAGTTTGGCCCTGAGTCAATTGGAGGTCAAAGGAAGTAGGTACCAGGGCACAGACAATTGCATCATATTCACCCAGTGAAGCTTTGCACGCCTATGGCCCCAGGTGATGGGGAGTGACCAAGTAAGGGCTCCAAGCCTGATTTCTTGCTCTGAGTGCTGGTCACCATTGTCCTTTAGGGTATTCTAAGTTTATATAGGAGGGGGCCTCCCAAAAAACCAGAATTATTCTCTGGAGGGTGGGCCACTTTAGTACAGGCTAGGTGAGTGTTCTAGGAACCCATCGGCTTCAGTGTACCGGCTGGCATTGTTGTGAGGGGCTGTGTTTGGTTTCAGTGAATTTTTTTTGAAGACTCTTTCGGTCCATCTACCCATTTCATGATGGGTGTTTCAGGAGCAAACCTGCCCACACTACGCTGAATGTTCAGCAGTTTTTGACAATAAACAGCATGACCTCCATGCCCCACCCTCCCTATTCACCCAGTCTTGCCCCAGTGACTTTTTTTGTTTCCCCAGGATGGGATAAGTCCTTAAAGGGAAGCATCTTGGCAATGTGGAAGAGGTAAAACAAAAAACGGCAGAAGCATTAAAAGGCATCAAAACTGACAAGTTCAAAAACCGTTTTGAGCAGTGGAAAAAAAGCCTTGATAGGTGTATTTCATCAAATGGAGAGTACTTTGAAAGTGACTGAAGTTTAAACATGTAAAATAAATACACAAATTTCTAATAAATAAATTGTTTTTTGGGTCCCTCTCTTATATACATTTATTAAATAAATTTTAGGAACAATAAGGGAGAAACCAATATGAATGTACTCTCAGTTAATTAGAAATTTTGACTAAAAAAGATTCCCTATTTTCCGACATGCTAGAAAACCTAACTTTGATTGTAAAATGTTATTATTAAGTTTGTTATGCATTTAGCAATTTCACAAAATGTGCTGTGGCCCAATCGCATAATAGGTAGTCCATCTTTCTCACTAATACATAGAAAGACTTTAACATGCATTTATTTGTTTATTTCTAAGTATTGTAGTGAGCAAGCAATAGACTACATTTCCTGGAGGTTGAGCCAGCTACACATCTAATAACCAATTAGAATTTTTTAAAAATAAGGCTATTTTGATGTTTCATTAATTGGAACAAATTGGCTATTCACAAATTAATGTTCACTGCTTAAAAATCCTAAACTACTGTGTCATATAAACTTGAATTTTGATATCTAAATTGAAGTCCTAACTTCTTTTAAACATGTGGACATAAGGTGGTGCTACAGATCAGAAAAATTCTCCACATGACAGAGATCAGAAGATAGCATAAGAAAGTATCATCTTGAAGTTGTTTTATAGGCATAATTTTGAAAAACTCTTCTCTGTTGATTGATAAATGTCCAGAATAAAATTCTAAAAAGTCATTTTTATTGAAATTTTTATTTTTAAATGCAAAATATACTTTTTGCAGATTATCTGGATTTTAAGGACACTTTACTGAAGTGGATTAATTTTGCTTCTGATTCTGCTTTATTTCTATGTTATTTTAAAGAATATAGATATAGCTGTATCTAAGAACAAAGCTGCTCATGGAGATATATCTCCATGTACCAGGATTCTCTAGTGTAAAACCCAAACTAAGAGCAATATAGGTCTGAAAATGAAACTAGAAATTCTGAGATGATTTCTAGATAGTATGATTTAGGTGCCAAATATTTAAACCCAGTGGTTCAAGCATATGACAGTATGATTTAGTTACATGTTGACCTAAAGAATAGGTTAACATCACCTGGGCCATTATGGATTTTGAGAGTACATACATTACCCTAAAGGCCACCTAAACTAAAGAAACTAGCATATCAGATACTTACTACCTGAGGCCAAATGAAACTCAACCTGCAAGGCAGATGTGAAGATGGAATTAAGTCCCCAAAACGACGTGCTCAGTGGTTTCAAACCAGGAGGATTCGCTATCTTAGGTCTAGACTGAGTTTGCAAACCGAGGGGAGAAAACCCTTCTCTATCTGATCTTGGCTGCAGATCTGATAACGGTTCCTTTCATCTTTCTTTAAGGTGTGTATTAAGGTAATCCACTGTAAAATAGTGCCAAGAGTACAACCTTCTGATGATCCTTGTTTTGGCAGAGTATGGCAGGAGGATTTACTGCACTTATTCTCTGGTTTCTTTGGGGATAGGTATCTAAGATTTTTCTAGAATGGCTTCTAGAACTACTTAAAAAAAAAGTTACCTGGTAGTCTACATCGAACAGCTAAATAAGTTCCCCAAAAGGAATTAGATTTAAGCAGTGGTACAGTGTTGGTGTCCACATAAATGGGAAGAAACAGGTATGCAACAAAAGTGTTAATTAATTTTAATAGCAGGAATTAAATTTTTTCTTACAGTCTCTGAAGATTGTGGTACTTCTTGAAGCCATTAGGAGGAAGTTTTCTTATTAAGTTCCTCTGAAGTGACCTGAAATAAAGGTAAATTTTGATTCTTACTTGAAGTTTTTTTCTTTATTTTTAAGCTACAACAATAGGGAAAATTATAAACTTCATTTACTTTAACAGCAACTTTCAAGAAACATTTTGTTTCATGATGTTATGTTCATATGCACAGTATCATTTAACGTAGGTCTAACTGTTGATTTTGTATTCAGTAAAGATAGCCTCTTAAATAATGTTTCTTAGAAATTTGAGTTTTTATTAATTGTGCCTATGGTGTATAGGCTTTTTTCCTAGATGATGCCAAATATTTCCACAAACAGCACTATATTTTCACAGTGCCCCAAGAAATGGAAAGAGGTAGGTGTTATTAATCACACTTAATAGAACAAACCAAAATACTTTTTAATATAATAAATTCTTATATTTAATATTTAGTATTCCAAGTTTGATTCTTCACAAAGTGAAGTGTGTGAGTGACTGAGAGCACTTGTTGGTTTTATTATTATTGTCAAAGTTTAGCTCTAGTTTTATAAAGAAAGGTCTTATTATTGGATCATGTAGTTTTAATGATTAAATTCCAAAAGCTTAAAGTCACCTTTCACATGAAGTTAATGTTTAGCAAATTAGAACAATGCGTAAATAACCCTATTTATCTGTTGTCTCTTTTGTTCATTAGCATTTATGTGAAATATCGTCAAAAAAACCCAACTTCAATGAGTATTATTTAGATTACTGGCTTCTTTAATGCTACTTATATATGATTTAGTCCACTTCTGACATTTCCCTATGATAGTTCCAACTCAAAATATGAAATGAGCCCACTAATAAAATTTGATATTTACTCTTCTAATGTATTTGCTCTAAAACCTAGAGCCCCGTTCCTCTGTGGAACTGAGCAAACACTGAGGTAACATGTGACGCTGAATCACTGTTCTGCAGAGAAAAGTAGAAATGGACAACCTGAATCAAGCTGCTCAGCCCTAAGTGCAAGAAAATACTATTCTTTTAAAACACAAAATAAAATAAAGTGGCACAGACATATCCTCCTGGGCTTCTTTCTCATCTCCAAATTCCTGTTGGAAATTTCCACTGAGTGACCTGTTAATCTCAAATGGAAAGAAACACCTAAAATTGGAGTCCTAATCTTCTCTGCTCACTGTCACCTGTCTCCCCATTCTTGGATCACTTTATTACTCAGAATAGAGCCTTGCGGTCATCCCGGACCCTTCCTTCTCCCCGCCTTTCTGTAGCCAGTCATTCATGACCCCAATTTTTGTCCTTATACCAAAAGTTGAAAACTGGTGGCTAACATGTCTGCACACATCTCTTTATATGTGTATGTATGTGTATATGTATGACTGGATATAGATGTACATATGTGTGTATGTATGTATGTATGTATGTATTGAGCCAGAAGAGGATTTTTTGTTTAATTGAATCAGAATGCCGTTAGGCGAGATAGGAGCTTCCTACTTAGTCATTGCCTTACCCTCCCCCATTTCTGTAGTTCTCTTCTTGTGTTTCTCTTTACAAAGGTAGCTAAAGTGTTTAAGACTGAAATCAAATTTTATTTGCTGAAAAATAAAAAATGAAATTGGTAGCATCAAGGTATTCTTTGGTTGGGATTTTCTAGTAATTTTATATAAACATTATGTGTAATAATTTTTTTCTTTGACAATAGAATGAAATAATCATACATTTTATATCCACCATTTCCAGTCAGAATTTTCAGGGGTGTCCAATGTACCTCCTGCCAGCTGCATGCAGCCCAGGATGGCTGTAAATATGGCCCAACACAAAACTGTAAATTTATGTAAAACATGATGAGATTTTTTTTGTGATTATGTGTTGCAATGTATTTAATGTGTGGCCCAAGACAGCTTTTCTTTTTCTAGTGTGGTGCAGAGACACCAAAATGGTGGACACCCCTGCATGGCAACCCTCCATAAGACCTTAGATATTTTGGGGGGGATTATTACTTTTTTTCTAGTAAGTCTAATTATTATAAAAAGAGCTTTGGTGAATTGAAGATAGGATAGAAGTATTCTTAGTTTAGGTGGGAATATCTCCCTTTTTGGACTCTGTGGCTTACTTTGCCTGATGCTCTCCGCTCATTTCCAATTTGTGTGAACTCTCCAGGTAGCTATCAGTGGGGTAAACTCCCCATATTCTATGAAATTGTAGGCACTACTATCCTCATAGCCGCTTCCCATCCCTTATGTATGCCAAGCATATGAATTACTGGGTTGGGTGGTTTGGGTAAAAAAGGCAGGGCTTGCCAACATTTATAAACTTAATAATTACTCCTATTTTGTCCTCATATACCCAAAAGTCAGAGCCATAAGTCACTGAAAAATCTGGATGAAAACAAAAAACCTCAGCAAAAATATTAGATTAAAATATCTGTTTTTCACTGATTTCCTTTGAAAGTTTCAGTCAAATGTGTTTATTTGTGTTGCTGAAGTTTGTTGAATTCAACTTGGTACTGGATCAACAATCTGCTAACTATGAGGATTTTTAAAAAATATATGTAAGTTTCAGTTACTTAGACAAGAAAACAACATCAACGTCTCCAAGTCAAACATAATGTAGAAGAGTTAGATTTTTAAATGTGAAATTCTGGGAATATTTTATCCAATTTATTTTACTTGGATTTATTTTTATTTATATGTAAGAATGTATTAAAATTTATGTTCAATAAAGTCTAAAAGATCTTTTTCAATATGTGTCAAGT